CACTTTGTTGGTGTCTGACCTTCCCCTCTGATGAGTAACATTATCCTGACTGAGAGCTGCCAGACAGAAGTAACAGCCTGAAGTTAACACAAAGAAGCAGCTCTATTAAAACCAAATTAAACCTCTGACCGCCTGTCACTAGATACCAAACATCTGCAGTTCACTGAAATGAAAGCTTTTGAAAATGATAAACCTTCCACTTTCTAAGTGACTATATGACTAAAAGGAAAATGGCCAACACCTGCTGATGAGAGAAAAGAAAGCATGATTTACTAACGCTCAAAATGTGTCTGACTGCTAAAATGATGATCTCATGAAGAATTCTTCATTCCTACCACCACGTTCCACTTCCTTGAAAACCTTTTATTTCATCTCTCTAAATCTTGTATCCATTTTTAACCAAATAGATGCACAGAGTGCGATCAATTTGAGTCCGTAATGTTGTTCACATATCACCATGTGTGTTCTAAACACCAGCTACAAGGCTTTAAACAATCATCTGGCGGTTGTGTGATGGCTTCATTATTGAGCTGTTTGCCTGATGACTCTTAGCATCGTGATTTCTTTTTTCTGGATGCTTGACTCTAACCTGAACTGACATTCTAATAAGAAAAATATCTGGTGGGACCAGGGGTGTGGTTCAGAGGGGGCACTCAAGGTGGAGAAAAAAACAACATCATATTAGAGTTTGACACAAAATATATGACATTTTTTCATCATGGTCAGATTTCTTTCGAAAATTTAATTAAATGAGTCATTGTTCTTACTAACACATGTTTCACTGATGCCATTGTTCACAATGGTCACTTGACTTTAGCTTTGACTTGATTTTCTATTCAGGATGCTGACAACATAAGTACACTCTTGTCATCTGTCAGTGTCAAAACCAGGAGACTCTTTCATTATTTCCCTGCTGCACTCCCCAAAATTTTGGTTGGTTTGAGTTCTCTGACTGATGTCAAATACTACAAAAGTCAAGCACTTACAGCTGCATTTTAGCTGTGAGGGCTAAAATCCTCCCCCTTCCGCCCATAATTACAATGCCCACCTCATACTGTGATGAGGGCTAATGAATTTCAATTACGACCATTTCTCTAAAAGTATCACTCAAATAAAGCTTGAGAGAACTGCGCTTTCTGTAAATTAAAAAGTTCACCCCACTCTTACAGTTCTACAGCATCTGATTAATAAACCCCCGTGAATTCATGGAACTTTGCTAAATCTCGACAAAGAATCATAAAAAAATATGAAACCAAGATACACAGGCATTCTGACAGGTTTTCTGACAAGTTTTCTCTATAAGAAAAAGAACTGCAGCCTGAGTGACGCTCATGAGTACAGAAACCTGACATTTTCCAAGTATTTAGTCAAACTTTTTATTCAAAATAAAAAGATCTCAAACAGATTCAATACTGACCTAATTAAAAGGAAAGCAGATCATAGCAGAGTGTATGTGGTATTCTCTTTATGATTGTCTGTTAAATATATATATATGATGTTATTATATTAGAATATTAACTTTGATTGGTAAGCTATACAAATAAATTGATTTGAGACCAATAACATACATCTAAACATGCATATGTATGAATATGTAAATACATACAGTATATGTGTATGTGTACATATACGTTCAGCTGTGTTGTAAAGACTAATCTAAACAAACATACCTGATCTCTCAGTAGACTTTCCAACTTAGTCAGGAAAAATCTAGACAAATGACACCATTGTGCAAACAGACAAGACAGCACAGCAGCAACAGAGACTTTTCCAGACTAATCAGAGGAAACTGGTCTGTAAGACACGACATCTCACCCACTCCCCTGTGTAGAATGAATAGACATTTCGAGGTGAGAGTGACTGATTGTAGTTCTATGCACGTTCTTTGCTCTGATGATCCGAAACCTTTTTCTATTTAATCCAGACAAATGTCCAGGAACACTGCACTGAAGACCACACATAGTCCACTCTTCATGAGACCCCTGAGATTTTGATCTGCAGGAATTGATTTTTACAAACCCTTACCTTACATTTTCAAATGATCCATATTCAGTATGACATCTAATATTTTATTGTGGTGTTGAAACATTGTGAAAGGGCCATCAAATAGTAATGCAACATATACTGTGATTTCTGATCAATTTGCCCCACTTTAAAGTGTTCTAATTTATCACACCGATCAGTTTTTTTACAGACGACCAGTCCAACACAGGAATAGGATGCTGCAGATAGAGTGTTTACTCATGGTGTCTGCAGGGCAATACTTCAGATTATTGATGATGCTCTAAATGTTGATCAAAATGTAAAGGAAAAGATTAAGAGATTGTATTTATTTAAATAAATGTGTGGTAAAAATCAATGAAACTAAGTTGCTATGTGGTCTTTAAAGAAGGCAAACAGACTAAAAGTTCCTAATTATATTTACTCACTGACAGAGATGAGATTAGACCATTTGATCATTTCCAGAACGATGCGGTCATTCTTGCTTAGACATAAAGTGAAGGCTGGCTGTCGATGTTAATTGTCATGCTGCATGTTTGAACAGTTGTTAAATTGTAGGCTGTAAATTAAGCTGCATGAATTAAAACAGGTAATCACACACATTGTAACTTTCTCTGTGGAACTCTGGTTGGCAATCTGTCAATTTTATTTAATTAAAACTGTGATTTTCATTACAGAGGTAGTCTTCATTAAAACCTTGTTTTTTTGTTATTTAAAGGTCGAATGTGTTGCAAATTTTAAAGCAAAGAACTTTTGCAAGCAAAATGTGTTTTAGATTTTTTTAAAACCTGCACAATTAAGGCAGTCGCATTAAATGGATGAACTCCACATTCTAGCAGAGACATGTTCATGTGCATGCAATTGTGTGCTGAATTATTAATTAAACTGCAGCAGATGCACTTATTTAAAAATATTTAAGCCATCCAAAAAAAATGTATCGTTGGGGCTTTGCAGGAACTTGAATTAGCCTCATTTAAACTTAAACACAAGTGGATGTAAACATTGTCTTTTTCCAGGAGCCTATAGAAGCAATGACATACCAATAGGCACTTACCATGGCTACAAAGACAGCATTAAAACAAGTTTGCCAGATCCCAACAGGAGGCAGAGCTTAGTAAAGAGTGGAAAATAGGAAATATACCTTACTTGAACATTTCCAGTTGGGAGTCAGAAAGTCAAACATTTAAACAGCAGTAAAGGCTATCAGGTCACCTGCGAGGATATTCAACACAACAGGATTGTTTTGCAATACAGTGAGTCAAGACTGCAGCTATTTCTAGCACCTAAAAGCAGAAAAAAGGTGACAGGGTGTAAACAATTCATGTGGCTGGACAGTGTACAGTCACTGTGTGAAGGTGTCGGCAGTGGGTAGTCACGGCCCACTTCAAGAAAACTGAATTTCTGTCCCCAAAATACTAATTTGGGGCCAAAGAATATGAATTTGTGGCAAGAAAATACTACGTTTTGGCTGCAATTTTTTAAATAAGACTTAGATGTTATGCCTGGGGTTCTGTAGGTGTATTTTCTTGCATGCTCTGCTGTACTGGAGCAGTGGCTTTCACTGTAGACTTCTTTTTAAGGTTTGCCATCAAGACCATCTTAAAAATGTCTGACGAAAGCATGTTAATAGGAATTACACTACAATGACTACTATTCCTTAATGTCCATGCTATACATGTTTTTGCTTTGTTCACTCTAATTTCAGCCTTCCCAGCGTTGCAACTTTTCGAAGTTGCAGTAAAATTTTGTTAAATGCACGTCTGCTTTTTCAAAGCCTGACAGTGTACGTTAAGCGACTACTTATTATTTGCTAGCTTCATGAAAAAAAGACTAATCAGGAATATTTCTGCATCACCCATGTGCAATTAAGCAATATCCACAGTTTTCTGTATAGTACAGAGGGCAGTTTAGCCTATTGTGCACATGACTAAACATTGTATATTTTCTAAGATGTAACCAGCAAAAAGGTCAATAATTGCCCTTGGAGCATTTACTTTAGTTTGACTTGATATCAGTGCCATCCTTCTCCTCAATGGGCTTCGTCATCAGTGTTGTGATGCTGTTCTCAGCTTGCAAGTGCTTCTTAACATTTGAAGCTCTCTGAGCCAAGAGAGCCTTGTTCACATGCAGGCTCACATTCTCATAAAAAAATGATAATATATTCACCATTTTGTTCCCAACTCATAAGTTGCTAACCTTGAACGTTGCAAAACCAAGAAAATATGTTTGTCCGACAAAGGCCGTTTTGGGACAGGTCACATACAGTAAGCTCTCTGGAAGATTGTTAGCCAAACAGCACAACAGAGAAGGCCAGTGGGAAGCTCACCGCCTCATTTGGCAGCACAGAGATTAGACCACTGTGTGTTTGTCTTTTAAATGCGTATCACTGTCAGTGGGCATTTAGGATCAATGCTTTTTTGCTCTCACTGAACAGTGAAACACAAATGACTGTGGAGTGTCTCAGATCCAATTAGGGATCCCACCCTCACACGATGGCTTTGTTCCTCCGAAGTGTCCAATCATCTGTGCAGCCATTTAAAAACCGCAGGACATTTCCTTGAACTCCAAGCCCAGTGTGTGTAAAGATACAACAGCTTATGAGTTTATGAAAGGATATGGTAGAGATACAAGCATTTCAATATCATGTCAAGTTTTGGGCAAACATTAGATAATTGTTCAGCCAACATGTGTAAAGATCTAAAACTCAAATTCAACACAAAAACATTTTAATCAGATACAGTCAGTTCAGTACAGAACGTTTCTTTGCTTTTTGTAATTTTGAACTAGTAATAAAAAAGGGCCATTTGACACAACTTTCAATTACATTTTCAACGAGAATAGAACAAATATTTATCTGAAATATGCAGGGATGCACAACCTGACACCCAAATGATTCCAAGTCAAACAATAAATTGATTTCTTTATCTGAGAAAGAAACATATCAAATAAAACATGTTCTTGAAGAAGAGATGTGCCATACTTCTTCATTGGGGACAGAAAAACCTCCAAACACCGACGGTGATTTCAGGAGTGAAACACTTCTGAAACGGGACGCACCTGCTCGTGCCATATCACCGCACTGTGAAGGTGAGAAGATGTCCTCACCCGAACAGCAACTGACAGGATAGCTGCTTCTGGACTGAACTAATATCTTAATGTGATTCCAATTATAATACAATATAGCGTTAATCATACCCCAGAATCAATTGTCTTTAGATAACAGCCTCTTAGCCTTAGCTTCCCATTACAGACACATCACAACATCAGTTTGCTCATCTTACCATTAACACAAAAAAAGAGTTCAAATCAGCAAGGCCTATTTCCACTAATATTCATTTGACTTGTAGAGAACAAAACTTTCCTTAATATCTCCACTTTAACAACAGTGGGATAGTGAATGGGACCCACTTCTATTTAAACAGTTCAGAAATACAGAAGCCCAATTGTTCTGACAAAAAATAATACTGACAGAAATACTAGAAGTCAAATGCTCAATGAACAACCGTGTACCCATTTAAAAAAAAAAAGCATTCAGAGCTTGGGAGCAATTGCAAAAGGGAATATGTGAGTGTTGCCCATACAGCTGCTCCCGATCAAATTACTCAGAAAAAACAGAGCGACAATAGATTATTGATTCAGTAGTTCACACGCAAAGGCCCAATGATGACAGCACTGTTTGATTTGTGCGTGCGCCACTCTGTGTGTGTGTGCAAGCAACATAAAGGTATGACTAAGCACACTTTGTCGACAGCACTCACATGAGACTGTTGTCACACAGAGGGCCACCATCTAAAAGTAAAACCAGTGTCATGAAAGAGCATCTGATACTTCCATTATGTGAGTGTTATGTAAAATTAATGTGTGAGGACAGTAAATACAGCAGCGTGTCATCAGAGTGAGACTTTTGCAGAGATGTGCAGATGTGCTATTTTCCCTTCAAACTGTTAAAAAACTTCCCAGTAAATAGATAATTACTAGATACGCTAACATTTATGCACATGCTAAAGTGAATACATCAAGAATGAATCATTTTGAAAGACCGTGCTGCATGATTTTCTCCTCTGAATTTATTTACTGGGATAACTTGACATGAAAGCTCTCTGCTTGTCCATGGCTGAAGAGGAGATTCTTCAACTTTGGCAGAACAGGCCTCCTGATTAGCAAAGAGGAGCAGGCCCGTTGTATCCTCAGACAATTCCTCAGAGATTTGTCACTATCGTGACTCTGATGCCTGAAATGATCTTCATGATCAAAAGCTCAATTTTGAACTCAGTAGTCAGATGGAACTTATTAAAAAGAGGATATTTAGGTTTCAAATTAATCAAAAGCCGTAGCTCATTTATCATAGCAGGAATAGTTTGGCTGTTTTCTGTTACAGCTGCTGCAGGAAGTAGATCTGAATTGGAAATCAGGTATTTGGTCCATTGATTAGACAAGAGGTTAGACTTAGACTGTAATGATGAGGGATTTCTGACTGCCGATGGTCATAGCTCTTTTATTTAGTGTTTGTTTCTTACTCGAATGCACTGTAGAAAATAAAATCCACACTGAAGAATGGCTTTGTCATTTTGAAAAAAAAGAAGCAAATTATGTATTTACTCACACAGAAGTGGCCTTGATTCATTTGATGCCGAACTATTCTATGAAGGACACAGGAAATTTGTATCCATAAAGGACAAATAATGTGTGTTGGAATATGATTTAACAGTGCAGCAAGTTCAGAGGCACAGCCATTTTCCAACCCCACGTCCCAGTCATTAACAAAATGACTGTGGTCTGAAAGAGGCCACATATTTTCAGTTTGTTGTGTGTAACTGCTCCTGCTACGACTTCTGTAACACAATTCAAACACTAACCGTCCACAACGGGCACTTTAAGCCTCACCCGAAAGTTCACAAACCCTTAGCAAATACAGACTCTGAGCAACAGTTTTCAGGGGGGCGGACACCATCCCACCCATCTGACAAAGGGAGGCAATATCACAGCCAAACCTGTCCATTCAGGTCCTCAAATGTTACATCTTTCCTCCCTACTGCTCTCTAATGGTGTCATAACCTCAACTCCCCTTTTCAATTAATATCTTGCCTGGCTTGTATTTGGTGCCATGTAGCACACAGGTACACAAAGACAGACACAGATCACGGTTTAAAAAAAAAAGCTGCAGGGGCAGAGGGACACATCAAACACCCTGTGGGGGGTGAGCTGTATAGCAAGCCACAGCCGGTTAATAGCAGGATGTATGATCTCTGTATGGAGTTATTCCCTCCATATAGATATATTCTTCCAATGCTGTGCTGTTTAACAGAGCAGGGTTAGGGAATGTCAATTCATCCAGATTTTGCAGTCAGAAGATTTGTTTAGGGCAGCAACATGTTACATGATGAAAAACCAGTACAAAGCAGAAGAATCTAGAACCCAACCATGTGCTTTTATTCCTTTTGCTAACCATTGTCGTGTTGGGTCAAAGAAGAAAAGTAATCATGGCAGCAGATAAGTGAATGATCCATGAAACAGATTCTGCTCACAACATCCTGAAGCCACAGTGGCCGAACTGTAACAGGCAATATCGGAGAAAAAAACCGAGGCTGTTTTCTACAGTTGTTGCTCCACAGTTTCCTGTGAACCAGTGCGCATTGTACGGTCTGTCGTAATTAGTCAAGCAGCAGTGGAATGAGCCAATGTTTCGGCCTTTGGCAAATGATAAAAAGGGAATTTTGGGGGTGATATGTTACATATAGCGGCTTCAATTAGGTGTTAATATACAACCATTACCAAACCTGCCTGACAACAAAGGCAAACACCAAGGTTTTCCCCACAGATCATTAGCGTGTGGATATCTGTTAATTAATGATTTGACAGAGGTTTAAATGTTGTGGTTGGCTTGTGTAGCAAACCTTGAAAACCCCACTTGTAAATGCAGAGCAGTAGTTAATTTGATGTCATTACATAGTCTAACTATCCTCCTGTTTCTTTTTCACATAAACGTACCGCTGAGTGCTCATTTTGGGTTCGTGTATGTGTGTGTATAAGTGTGCACACAACATATCATGTTATTTCGAGCAGAGTTTTTTTTCTATCCAGAGGAATAAAGACCTCTATTTCTTTAGACTGACAGGCTGCCTCGGGCTGGTAATATAGCTGTGTAATGGGGGAGAGGAGAGGAGAGGAGAAGGGAGGAGGGAAGAGGATGACTTTTTTAAGAAACCAGAAGTTTTACCCCAGAAAGAGCCAGACAAAACTCTGGATATGGGATGAGACTTTTGACTATTTGAAAATCTGTCTCAGCAGATCCAAATTAAAGATGTGACGCAGACTGCCTGGACTTTGTCACTCCATTTAGACTATCTTTAAGTGGACTTTCCAAAGGTGCTTCAATAGCACAAAGCACGTCTTTAAATATAAAAATATATTCAAATTTCCGGGCCTAAACACCCTAATAAGGCCGTGCAATGTTCAACTGGACTCAGTTTCAGAAAGTTCTCAGAACATTTTCGAAATCCCCATCTTTTTAATTCCAACATTCCTGCTCTCCTGCTCTTTTCTGTTTTATTTTTCTTTTCTTTGTCAGATGGTAAAACCCCAAGTCACTGAAAACTGGTCTATTAAGATTATTTGTTATTTCTGAACTTTTAGAAATTGAATATGACATAAACTATGTTCACGAGTCCACTGCGGTGGTTTTATCACACAGGCATATTTTTTTAGCTGTTTTTATCTTTTTAATAGGACACCCAAGACAAATGAATCCACCCAAGGACACATTTTTGACTTCTCATCTGATAACAACTAGAAACAATTAAAAATGCACCACATTCAGGATTATTCAATGGCAATAATATTTCCAGTAAATAACACTGTTTCCCCAATTTGATACACTCCCTCTGAACTTTCTGTCATTATACACACATAAAGAGACACATGGAACAGAAAGTGTTTTTCTGGCCCACAGAGAAGCATTAGTATTGATGAAAGGTTTTATTAGAAGAAAGCGGCAGATTGTAGTCTCGCGTTATTTCCCCTGAGAAACTCCTCTCTAAGCTGCATATATAGGACCTCTCATTCAGGAAAACAAGCTCAAATTCACAGATTGCGACATTATTCTAAATCCTGAGGAAAATAACACAGAAGAGTCTTTAATCTTGCATACAATTTGGATTTGTTGGTTAGTTTGAATTTTTTAGTGCAACGATTAAAATCAGAGGCAGCAAAGTTGAGGAAGATCATTTTCTTTGAGAAAGGAGAGTCCATAAAAACATTCTACAAAACCAGAGCTAGTCCATGATGACCTTATGTCATGTAGGTGGTTCTTGAGGGAGGACTCAGTTGCAGAGATGAAGGGAAACAAGGTTTATTGTAACAAAAAACTCATGAGTGAATGTCCAGACAAAGTACAAATCAAAGCTGTGGAAAACTGTGAGCAAAGTGACAAAGCAATAAGCAAACAAGACTGAGGCAAAACTATGACTGTGACAAAGTAACAAATGACAAAACTATGGCAAAACTGTGACTATGACTGTGGCAAAAAACTATGGCAAAACAAACCTGGCGTGGGGGTGACGATGGACAAGACGGACGAAAGACGAAAACGCACTCGCGCCAGACAAGGGAAAACAGGACTATTTAAACACACGAGGGAGGGGAACCCCAGGTGTACACAATAGGTAATCATGACATGACGAGACACCAGACGTGACACCTTAGGCTCCTTGTTTCAGAACAGAACTGGTGTAGAAAATGACATATGTAGGCTAGTATTTTCAAAGCTTTCCATCTGTTCCTTCAGGCAGCTGAGCTGCTCAGAAAAACATCTTAGAAACAGAACGCAAGCTTCCCTCTGAACATGAGTGAGGACGTGAATAAATAATTAATAACAGTTGGATTAATATATGCAAAATTTACCATTTGCTCTTAGTAGAAATCATTAAACATGACAATATCATGCTTCAAACCAGAAATGTATTGACCTCTTTTTCTTTAATGGAATAACTTAAAAGGAAGCTTAGTTTCCAGTTTAAGCCAAGACAGCAGAGTGCCTCCCCATGTAATTTCACCATATTAGTCTACTCAGGGAAAAGGATTGCAGGTACTCCAAATGTTTCACTGTTTATCTAATTCTGGGTGCAAATATCAATGTTCACCAGATGATGATCATTGATGTATTTTGTTATGAAATAGGTTTTCGTCTTTGACTCAGAATGAAAGGAAATAACGATATTTCAAGGGCTAACATGGTATTCTAAAAACATTTTTATCTGTCCTTCAAATCAAAGGCAGAATCTTACACTCAAGCCACAAGCCCAGTTTGAAACACTGACCACAGTAATCCTGACAATAGGCGTCATTTGTCTTCTGTTACGGCCGGAATTTTGACAGTAAATCACTTACACACCTGTGATGCCTTACTGAACTCTACCTATTGGTCAGCCCTTAAGGAAACAAAGGTGTCCACCCCTCATGAAAGAGATGCTGGCCAGCGTAGAGGATTCTTTATCTTGTTTTGGTCTAAATCATATCAAGGCTGAATGGTCTCGTGGTGGTGGTGCACGATCACCTCCCAGCAGGAGGGTTCCCAAATTGAATCCAAACCGTAGGCCCGTGTGCTCCTGCTTCCTCTCCCCATTCAGAAACATGCATGTTAGGTTAATTAGAGACTTTAAATCGACCATCGGAGCAGTACGGTCTTTCATCTCGCCTGTGTGTGCGGCCCCCGTGATGGACTGAGACCATCACAGGGTACTAGTATGAACCCCATTTCTCACCCAGTAACAGCTTGATGGGATCCAGAAAATCACAGGCAAAGGATGGATGGAAAATCATGGCAAAATCAGTTCAATATGTAAATCTGTAATCTTTGTAATAAGTACAAAAGTCATTTAAAAAAAAAATTTGATTTAAGTTTTAAGTTTTCAATCCAAAAATATGACTTATTGTTCTTTTCAGGGACTTGAAAATCTTCAGAAGTTACAGCCCTTTCCATCAACCCGAAACATAAGACTTTTATATCTGTAAAGTCTAAGAAAAGAATGTATCTCCTGCTCTGTTATGACCCACGCATTGTGGTTCTGTGTTGCTATGTTTTGTTTTGCCCTGCGTCACATAATGTATAAATGTCATTAACCTGTATGTGAATTCAATTTTCACTTCATTTTCTGAGTTTACGCTTTTAGAAAATCTGTACAATAATTGAGAGCATTTTTATTTTCAAAACCGGTTAGATGTTTTCAGAATCATCTCATTAATAGTCAATCAACTGCCCCCGCCCTGTGCTCACTTTGCCACCAGCATCCCCTGAATGTCTGACAATAGCAAACATGCCGTTTGATTGGAGCAGCGGGGAAAAAAGGATCCATCTGCTAAAGATGTTCCTGACCCACACAACACTACAATTAATTCAAGTACCATGACTCACCAGTGGGAGACGGAGTGACAGAGAGAATAAACATGAATCTATTCTTTCAAAACCTGAATGTTTTTGTTTAAACACTGTTGATTCGTTATGAGCCAGAGGGATATTGGGAGATATTCACCCTGGCATCACGTTGTTTGTGTACTTAATCAGTTGGGAACGAAAAAACATTATCAGCTATTATAAATAGTTTTTTTCTTGTTTATATGTCTTATGATATTTCTGTTGAGTCACAAAAGAGATCAAAACTGCTTTGCCGAAGATTCAGGAACAAAATGGCGTATCTTTGTTGTATCACATCTGTAGAATGCAAAAGAAGCAGAAATGATATGGGCTGCTCTGTGATCATGCTCATTAGAAATGGCTTGTGTCCCGTAATCTAAAAACAGGCAAGGGTGGTCTATCTATTTGTCAAAATACCCACTTTAAAGGTACCAGTGCTTACTAAACAGTTAGCTTTTTTTAACACAAAGATATCCAGCATGGAATTCAACTTAAAACTCTGAATGCTGCTGAACCAATTAGTTTGTTTAAATTTGAACATGGATCCTCAAATAATAGCTTTAACTGTAACGGGTGGATAAGTGATGTTTTAAATGTGCGTCGCTCACGACATCTGCCAAACTGATGACATGGGAGTTGCATATCACAATGCAAAATAAAGAAAAAACGAGAGTTGCTGACAGATTCCAGATGCAGGTAGGAGAGATGGAGAGTCATTACACAGAGCGCATGATTCAGAACGGGAGGAACAGGGTGTGCAGACTTTGCATTCACCTTTTCAACCCCAAATAAAAATACAGGACCTGTCTAATAAGGCTCTCTCAGCTTTGCTCCTTTAATGAAATCCTGTGGGAGGAGAACGGATTAGATGGCCTCAAGTCAGTTGTGTTTGCATAAATGCAGACTTGAGATCTCAGGCACATGGGATTAGATTTTGAAAAATGAAGGCTTCAGGCTTGGGGGGGAAAAACGAAAAGACAAATGCGATATTTTGCTGCTTGTTCTTCACTGTGCAGTGGAAAGTCCCAAAGTGCATTTATGGAGAAGGTTTGAAAGGGCATAAAAAGATACTTTTGTGTTTGTAAGTATTAGACAATAAAGAAGTAGAATTTGATATTTTTTAGATGGCTGCCCTTTTAAAAATTCAGCAGCAGGTGATAAGAGAATGATGTTCTGTGAAGTCCAGAGACCCAGTCCCACATGCCTTTGGTATGACAAATCATCTCACTTATTACTACTTTGTTCGCTTTTCAGTATCACTCCAGGAAGTTAAAGTTCTATGGTGCAGGCCACACTGGGATTTAAGGTCGGAAATGTTTTCTTTTTAATGCAAACTCTTCTTATAACGGCCACAGTAAACGAACAAATGAAGAATTGGAAGCGGTTTCAACAAACCCTGTGGAAAAATCGTGGTGCGTCAGAGGAGACGTGCAGAGAGAAGACAGAAGTACATACTGTAGGCTTACATCTGTCCTGCTCTCATAGAGGGAATACATGTTTGGTGCTTTCATTCACTTATTTGCTTTGTGGTTTAATGATTCAGATATCGCCATAAAGACGTCACAATACCAATTGATAGAACCATCAATCATTTATTAATCGATGCTTTATCTTCAGCAGCATGTTATTCAAGCTTTTCACGCTTGTTACTTTATGGCCACATTCTTTTCTAACAAATAACCCTCAACTATAAGTTTTACTTTAGTTCTAAGAAATATTGAAAGTTTGTTCCATACTTTCTTCAATTGTACTTTAACCTTGAATCCTGTTACATAACACAGCCGTTAAAGAACGGATCGGGCCTTTTGAATCATGAGTCCAGCCAGTCTTTATCACAGCTCTCAAACTATTACTATTACTACTACTATTCTGTTAAATCCATGTGTCCAAAGTCCATGTTAGAGAAGAGAACAGAAAAAAATAGGGCCCCTCATGATGAACACTCAGAGGCACCCGTGTTGATTTCAGGGATTATTTTAGTGGTGAAGTTGCAGACTCCTTTAGAAGTCTCAATCTTAACAAAAAGTAAAAGAAGTATATGCTGACAAGCTTAATAGGAACCCACTTTGGGCTAACGGCAGCAATAGTAAAACAAAGGAGCAGAATGTAACTTTGCTCCCTGACTCCTTTGGCCTCTCATACTTTGTGTGTGTGCGTAGAGGTGGTGGCATCACCACTCAGGCTGCCTCCTCCACTCAGTTGATGCACATTTCCATCATCTGGCTGTCTTCAGCGCGTGTGCACGTATGTTTGCGTCCTCTGTGGCGTCATCGCTTTTAGGTTTCTGCGCCAACATTAGGCTTCTCCCACCCACCAAGGCCCCTCCCACTTTCTCTCTGTCAGTATTAAATATAGTTCCCCCACTCCTCTCTCTCACTCTACAGCCTCTATATTGAAGCAAAGCTCAGCATCTTCAGATCATCCTTTTCTGGTCTCTACAACATCAGCAGGTAAGGGCAAAAAAACACATTACACTCTGCAAATTTTTGGCGTTATATTTTCTTTTTCATTTCATTAGATACCGACCACAAACTCTTAAAACAAAGTACTCCTAAGAGGGGAGTTCTTTCTCTTAATTTTCATCTGTTCGTTGCTTTTGCTAAATCCAACCTTTATCGAATACTAAATAAAAAATGTTCAATTGCCATACCAAATGATATGAGATTGGTGAGAGCCTCAATCCAGAAAAACGTATCTGATGCGGAATGTCCTGTGGTTGGTTCTCCTTCGCATCGTGTGCCTGATGTCAAGTTGCAAAAGAAAAAAGAGAAATTTGTAATGACGGCAAAAATAAATGATGAACTATAGTCTGATCTAGAGTAAGAACTTAATTGTGAGCCTGGTTTAAGTGCAAAAACATTTTACTTTCTGATAACATTTTCTCTTAGGCTCCGTCTTCAGCTAAAATTCCCCACTGGCGAATTGCATTTACACCATGATTTGTTGATACACACATCCATCACAACAATTAAGACACGGGCTGTGCTGATAAAAGAGACAGACATTCCCAGTGAGTGTCGGGGAGTTGTGGAGAAGGGAGGCGTCCACACGCCACATCATTACCGGCCCTCTGAATAATGAATAAGACACAATGACCAGCTGCAATCCAGTCAGGAATTATATTAGCATAGAAAGAATGACTGTTTACACAACCACTGTGCTAGTTTAAACAAAAGTATTCAAATGAACTGATGTATGACATCACAGTGATAAAAACTACTTATCGACTTATCAACTTGTATGGTTTGCTTTTAGAGCACTAAAGAAGCTCAGTAATTTTAGGAGTAATCATGACCAGGCAACGAAAAGCTAGAGAAAGTATCTAAGTATCTGTGCTGTAAAAATGCTCAATCTACATGTTTAGAGAAGCCTGAAACTTGCATAAGGTATCAGAATGCATGTCAAGGAATCACGCCATCCATAAGTTCTCATGTTTCTCAAGTTTACCAGGTCAAGAGTTGGGAGGGAAAGGGTGAAACAATCTTCCAGTGAGTGAATGAGATTTCTAAGAAGAGAGTGAACTGTACACCCCTCTTGGTGTACAGGGAGCGGGGCTGTGATATAACCACTAATACAGCCGGCTTTTTCTATTACTGGAAATTGAAAGCCTCCGAGCAACTGGTGTTGTAATCGATGATTGGATGTTTTGAGCTCTGGTAAGAAGCATCCATCACATCTGATGAAAGAAGCGATGTCGTACAGTAAAACAGTGATATGGACGCCAGGCTTCTGTTATTTCAGAATATCATATTTCATTATACCAAAAAGCACAAATGATGTTATAATCATCACATGACTATTTAGAAAAAATAATCTCCCTTATATTTGACTAAAGCCTTAAGTCATTTTGCTTTAGGCCCTTTATGTGAATCAGCTCACTGGAAAAAAAAGGAAAAACAAATCTAATATGTTTACTCGTGTGAGCATGTTAATCCGATCTGAGCCCTGTTGAAATTGTGAAGCTAAATTAAGATTTAGAGATAATTGAAGTGTTTCCTTTGGGATTTGTGCTATTGCCAATGATGCCTCTTCATCATATCCATGCCACATGAAACGAGTGTGCGTTTAAAACCAGAAAGGGAATGTGTGAGAAAAAAAAAGAAGCTGTTTGCTGCAGGTTCCAGCTGAAAAAATACAGTTTAATCCCTTTTGTCCATCACTGACTGTGGAAAGATGTTTTGCTGGTCAGTTAAAACCATTTCAGCTGATTTCTTTCCCTCCTGCACTGGCTCTAACTTTGCTTTGCTTTCTTTCTGTCTAGTCATGAATGTTAGCATCTACATGTGGGTTATCCTGGCTGCTTTGTCCAGCGGCTCTCTAAGTTTACCTTCACAGTTCATGGTAAGAACACAGAAACTCACTGAGCATGCCTTGTTTAAATACGTCTGTCGTTTCAAATAATTATCATTTTTGTTTAAAATAAACATTTAATTGAAAGAGGACTCCATGAACATCATCTTTGTAATGAAATATAAGGCTGGAATCCTACTAAATGATGCAAAAAAATATTTGCATGAAGAAATAGCATGTACAGGTCCAGGGTTCTTTGTATGATAGCTTAACTTGTACCAAAGTTGGGTGTGATTTGATAAAAAATGTCTTCCCGTGCTGTCCCAGAGGGATGAGAGCTTGGGTCCTATGGCAGAGAGCCTGTCCGACCCCTCGCCCGACCACACACGCCAGGCCCGCTCTGCTCCCGCACCCCCCTCCAAGCAGTTCGTCCACTTCAACCAACCCCAGGAGGACGCGGAGGCTCCCGACAGCCTGAGCAAGCTGCTGAGCAGACTTATTTCCAGGAAAGGTGAGCGGTGAGAGACACGAGTACACGCTAAAGAGACAGAAAAAGAGGGACATTCGGGCAAATGTCTTTCCCCTTCAGTCTCCTCGTGTCAATGCAAACCCCTCGTTCTGCTATAGGCTTGTGATGCGTCTCGCTTCTACTTCTCTCTTCCTGTCGGCTGCCATCCGTCACGCTGCGTTTGTGTTTTTACCATCTGGCATTTCCCACCTCCCTCTCGTTTCCTCCGCTCTGCGTCCGTGCTTCCCCTCAGTTCTGCTTCCTCCGGTTCCATCCACCAGTCTGCCCTCACTTGTCTCCTCACTTCCTGACCTCTCTCTGCTTCCTCTGTCACCGTGTATCTCTGCTTTTCTCTCAAGTCAACACAGAGTCACCTGCTGAGCTCATGTGTCTTACATAGTCAGATAGAGATACAGTACAAGTCAGCAGGAGACACTCAGATGATCTATTTCTAGTTTTAGATACAAGTAATATCAGAATACAGTGATGGTAAAAGAAAAACAAAACTACCAATTGCCGGCCTCCCATGATCCATGTCCTTTCCCTCCAGGGTTTCCTTTTCAGGCCAGGACCTCCCTCACCAGCAGAGCCGTAGCCCCGAGCCACAGGATAAAGGACAGAGACTACCTGGGCTGGATGGACTTCGGGCGACGCAGCGCAGAGGAGTACGAGTACTCGCCGTAATAAAGATCCCCCCGAGTCCCAACTTCCCGACACCCACAATCACAGCCGGCAAAAACACTGAGCTCTTTTCACACTGCACTCACTGTAACCCCGGGCGACTCAACAAAGGAGTTCAGCATCATATCACACAGACAATAACCTGGGGTCTGCAAACCTAAATATTCATGCTGAACCCTAAGAGCACTCTGCAAAGCGTCTCTAATGATAAATAAATAAGAATAAATAAGAATTTATCATAAAAAAGACTACTTTCTTGCCTCCCAACGAACAGACTCAAAATATGACCGTCTCTTTTCAGATGAGGTTTTTCTGATGTCCAAAACCAAACAGGTGATGTAGTAGTTGCCTCCCTCAATTATATTCTGCCTTCTTTTTTTAGGAGTGGGGGCTATTTAGACTATTGCTATTACTGACTGAATAGAGATTCAGTGCTCCCGTGGGGTTCAGGGTGGCATGATGTTATGCGAAGATTTGGCACAAAATGAAAAACAATTGCAATAAATTGACACATCTTCCAGCGGAGTTCACAGACTGGCCTCCAAAATAAGCTGCAAGCCTCGCTGATGTGCAAATTCTGCCACTGAGATTGACCTAGTGATGGTTTGGCTTTTTTTCTTGTAGATTTGTGACAGTCACGATAGCAATGGTTGTTTTGACTGGTGCACCATCAGTCTGTCAAAGATGGAAGATCTTCAGATTCACATTAGTTAGGCAGAAAGTAATTCCAAAATGTTCACTTTTTCTAGAAAATTCAAATACATACTTAGGGTATTTTTTGGCCCAACTGAGGCTTCATTGAAAACTTTAAACCCAAAGTAGACTTTACAAACCATGACCTTCTTTTGGTATTACAAGTAACAGAGCACGCAAAAGTCCAAAGGTACACCTTTCGATGAGTGCACAATAAAAAAATATCGTAGCACATCTCATCATTAGCAATTGAAAAGAAAACTGTGTGATGCAACATCAAATTTCTCTTGATTTCAACCGTTCAGTCAGTAACTTCACTTCTGAGCCGGATGTTTCTCTCTGGAGTTCTGCGCGTCTCCGCGTATGCTGATTGTAATTAAAAATGTGCAGTGTGAAAAGCCCTAATCATGTTTTAGAAAGTATTGTCCTTTTTCAAGAATCTCATCACTGCAATATTGAGAGTTCGGTGGCAGATGAATTCCTGCTATAATCACTTTTTCCGTATGTATTAGATCTACAGATTAGATGTCAATAGTATCATTTCATTTTTGGAAGATCATGATGTATGTTTGCACTCTAAAAGAATAAATCTCTATAATAAACACCAACACGTTTCTACCAACTTTCAGATCGAGCATAAATCTCAATAAAGCTCAGTTTTCCTTTGATATCACCAAGCTCTGCATTATTTGGGGAATCATTATCAATCAAAGGTCCACTTGGGACTTGTTAACACCAATGAGTATGAGTATGTACGGCGATTGGTTTGGAGAGCAGAGCTTTACTCAGTCTCAATAGGACTTCCTTCAACATGGAGATTTTCACATCCTCAAAGTCTAATCTAACATCAATGTTCCCAACTTTCCTGAGGAAAAGTTTCCTATTTCACGTTCACAGATTGATAGCTCACCTGGTAGCTCTACCGTCTAAAGGCCTTCATCTACAATGTGACATTACTGTCAGCCTTTATTATACGTTTTTAGCTGTGTTTAAGAACAAAAATGACCCCTTCCCTGTCATAATGCTGAATAACAATAGTTCATAAAATCTATTTAACATTTTGGAAATCTATGTCTCTGAATGGATTACATTTGGATTTAGCAGCAGAACTGCACCTGGACAGGACTTATTTTTATTAAAATAAACAGAGACCACAAAATATCTTCTAAATATCGTGCAGACTGTGAGACAGATCCACCTTCGCAACTCGGGGATAAAATTACTAAAATGACATGGGGTTAGATTTCACAGTATAATCAGACAGGTTTACTGCTCTCTAAAACTTCAGGTGCACAAAAACACAACATACAAGAGAAAAACTAGCAGCTTTGCTTCAGCTATTCAATCAGCGTGTGTACATGTGTGGAAACACATTGCAGTTGCAAAACTTCTTCATATGCAAGCCTGTATGTTACATACAGGGGTTGGACAATGAAACTGAAACACATGGTTTTAGACCACAATAATTTATTAGTATGGTGTAGGGCCTCCTTTTGTGGCCAATACAGCGTTAATTCGTCTTGGGAATGACATATACAAGTCCTGCACAGTGGTCAGAGGGATTTTAAGCCATTCTTCTTGCAGGATAGTGGCCAGGTGACGACGTGATGCTGGTGGAGGAAAATGTTTCCTGACTCGCTCCTCCAAAACACCCCAAAGTGGCTCAATAATATTTAGATCTGGTGACTGTGCAGGCCATGGGAGATGTTCAACTTCACTTTCATGTTCATCAAACCAATCTTTCACCAGTCTTGCTGTGTGTATTGGTGCATTGTCATCCTGATACACGGCACCTCCTTAAGGATACAATGTTTGAACCATTGGATGCACATGGTCCTCCAGAATGGTTCAGTAGTCCTTGGCAGTGACGCGCCCATCTAGCACAAGTATGGGGCCAAGGGAATGCCATGATATGGCAGCCCAAACCATCACTGATCCACCCCCATGCTTCACTCTGGGCATGCAACAGTCTGGGTGTTACGCTTCTTTGGGGCTTCTCCACACCGTAACTCTCCCGGATGTGGGGAAAACAGTAAAGGCGGACTCATCAGACAACAATACATGTTTCACATTGTCCACATCCCAAGATTTGCGCTCCTTGCACCATTAAAACCGACGTTTGGCATTGGTACGAGTGACCAAAGGTTTGGCTATAGCAGCCCGGCCGTGTATATTGACCCTGTGGAGCTCCAGACGGACAGTTTTGGTGGAAACAGGAGAGTTGAGGTGCACATTTAATTCTTCCGTGATTTGGGCAGCCGTGGTTTTATGTTTTTTGTATACAATCCGGGTTAGCATCCGAACATCCCTTTCAGACAGCGTCCTCTTGCGTCCACCGTTAATCCTTTTGGATGTGGTTCGTCTTTCTTGGTGGTATGCTGACATTAGCCTGGATACCGTGGCTCTTGATACATCACAAAGACTTGCTGTCTTGGTCACAGATGCACCAGCAAGACGTGCACCAACAATTGGTCCTCTTTTGAACTCTGGTATGTCACTCACAATGCTGTGTGCATTGCAATATTTTGAGCAAAACTGTGCTTTTACCCTGCTAATTGGACCTTCACAGTCTGCTCTTATTGGTTCAATGTGCAATTAATGAAGATTGGCCACCAGGCTGGTCCAATTTAGCCATGAAACCTCCCACACTAAAATGAGAGGTGTTTCAGTTTCATTGTCCAACCCCTGTACATTTCAGTTCAATTGCACACACAATTAAAACTGGGGCCCTGCAAACTTATGCTAGTAGAGGAACATTACAAAACACACACACATGATATTAAGTGACTGTGTGAGGTCACACCCCCTTTCACTCCAGGACCATCAGTTGTATCATTGGACATCTGAATTAATTTCTAATTTATGTGTTGAAGAGGTAATGCAGACACACACCAAGGTATAGTCAGCAAAATAGTAACATCCCTACTGACTGAAATAAACTCACTGTGACATCCTTTTGCTTTTGAAGGTGGGTTTCAATTTCTTCCTCAAACAACACAAGGAGCCTGTGGGATGGTCATACTTTATTTGCAGAGTTGCTACATTTGGCTCTTTACTGCAACCATATGGACACGACAAAAAGTACACTGCCATTGGACAGAAAACATTTTTGAAAAACCAAGTCTTAAGACAACATGCAGTACAAGTGTTGTGCAAACTTGCAAGTTAAAGAAAATCTTTTGGGGGTGCAGAAATGAGGTTTAAAAGTCTATCTCTGTACTGTGAAAGTAAACAACAAAACTGCAAGTGGTATTCTACTATCATAAACTTTAAACTTTCATTTCCAACTTACTGAGAAAAAAATGCAACACGCACACAATGCATCAACAAAAGAAAAAAAAAAGAAAAAAAAGGAACACTTAAATTTGGAATAGATCTGTTTATTTGTCCCCATTTCATCCATTTGCTCCACACTCCCCTCTCTTCTTGTGCAGCGGCACAAATGACATCACAAGCATTCACACTTCAAAGCACACGTATCCTCAGAAAAAATAACCATACAAGAGTACCCTCATGTCAGATACACACACACACACATTTTAACATTCAAAATGTGTAAAAGAAAAGCAAAAAAAATCTCCATGAAATCAATTGATGGTATAATGCTTATAACGGACTTAAAAAAACAAAATCAAATAAAAAAAAAAAGCATAATGACTATTCATCATTCACCATATACCAGACCAGAAAAAAGAAAATTAATAAAAGCAGAGCTATGACTCCACTCACAAAGCAGAGGGCAGCCCTTCAAAGATTTCACCTTTGATATTTGGATTTAAATGTCACCATCTCATCCTTTCACCTAATTAGACAATTGTGTGAAGCTTTAATCGCACATTTCAGTTATGAGTTGTGGGGAGCCACAGTGATCCGGCTGACCACCATGACCCAATTAGTGCAATGCTAAAAATCCCACGAGGCGTTCCTGAGATTTCCTGGGAATGGGATGTAGATGTGGAGGGATGACCTGAAAAAAAAAAAGGCTTCCGGCAGGCCAACTATGACATAAAAACGCATAAAAATTATGAATCACATCCATTAAGGGAAGTTAGCTGAGGTTTGTGTGGAAGCGCACAGGTCAGGGGGAGCATGTCACAACAAAAAAAAAAGTGCAAAATTCACCTGCTTATTTCAGGTTATCCTAAGACTCAAATAATAGGATATTGATGAGTTTGTGTACCTCTTTAGTTGGCTTTGAAGTGGATAACTTAGAGAAATACCTCAGTTAAATTCACATAACCTCTTACTAAGAACAAACTGAAAGTTTCTGAAACACAAACCTGAAGTGTTTCAATGTCCAGTCAAACAAAGAAAATGTAATTCAGTATAAAAAAAACCTTTAAAGCAAGTGTGACTTTAAGTGATAACAGACATTTGGCACTGGATTGACTGTGGATGTTTTACCATGCACTGCCTCACAACACTAGTAAGCAAAGATTTGACTGGCTTGTTCAGAACTGAGTGTGTCTCATTGGTGCAACCACGGCTAAAACGATTAACGTTTCGAATGTTTTCCTCCGAGGGGGTTGATTAAAACTCATCCCAGGTGATACTTGTGATTTATTAGGTGTACGCTTAGTGCATGGTGAGAGTGACCAAAGACGCTGTGGCCGGGTTTGATAAGAATGTTTTCTGTGGGTAAATGATAAAGTGTAGTGTATGACACCCATATGTCAGAAGCCTGTTCTGAACAAGCCATCAGCCTCTGTGGAACCACCTGTGGTAACTATCTCCTATGGTCAGCGGAGTATAAGGGATTACTGGTCAGTCGTTGCTAGCTGCTTACAAGGATAAATTATATGGAAAACTGGACACAGCTACTGTATTAAAAACTAAAACCTTCAAGCTTATTTACTCAAAATCTACCATCTCATTGTTCTGGTGACGTCATTTTGTGGTACTGATGTAAACACGGATATCTGGATCCTCATTTGGGCGTATTGATGAACTCCCAGCTGAGAGGGAGCCTGTCCAGAATACTAAACACAAGCTAGAGACACAGAAAGAGAGTCCTTCCTATGAAGATTGTCTGAAACCTAAAGCTGACATCCACTTACGTGACCACAAAATGCTGGTATGATCACACACACACACGCACACACACACAAACAAACAAACACCTCAGCTGCCAGCCATAGTTAGCTAAGATCATAAGTCATGTTCAACCCTCATTTGCAGATGAAATATTTGAAGAAACTACATTTGAATGAACTCCTATTCATATAATATATCTTGCTACAAGAAGACAGTAAATCTCTGGCGTTGTCCCACTCCATGTATCTTCCAAACACAGTCCTTGGTCACTAAAATATAGTTAAAATTGAACACTTCAAGTAACATAGTAAAGAGTCAAAAGAAGCTGGATGAGGCTGCTAGTTGCTATTAGGTGTCTGGCTATGTGTTCTCACTTTTGACTTGAATGATTTAATAACATTATTTCTATACAACAGTTTGGCTTCTGACCCTGATTTTTTTTCACGTCTTGGTCCATTTTGGCTTTAATGAATGTTAAGAGTTAGTTTACTTTGATAGCTTGCTGATGGCTGCACATTTTAAAACGGTGTGCATATTATTTTTTTACTCCCGCGATATCTCATAATTATACTTTAAAACTATTGATGTAGTGATCACCACCCACTACTGACTAAAAGAGAAAAAAAACAATCTGCTAGGTGTCAGTGAAAGTGTCCCATGGCCTCAGCAGCCTTCACTCTCACCACAGGATCTGGATCTTGGAGCAGCATCACTAAACCTGTAAGCGGACACGGGTGATAACACAGTCACAATCTTGTTAACACACAGAATGAACACAAAAAAATGTGTGACCTGAAGCTTGTGTTCGACCTTTTGTGATGGTGCCCATGTTGAGATGAGAAAGATGCTCCTGTTGAAGATTACCCAGCAGGAACCCTGATGAGACATCAACATAATGAGGCCATTTCATACACTACACCAATAGCAGCTACAGCACATGAGAGGTGAGGAATGATGTTTTAAAAAAGCCTCAGTACCTATAAACATGGCAGCGGCTGCTCTGACCTCAGGCCAGTGGCTCTTGAAGAACTGAATGACCGAGATGTGGTAAAAGTTCAGCATGCCGGGAAAGTCCTGAATCTACAAAAAAGAAAAGACACAATGAGCTGAAAAAACAGTGCTGGTGTCAGAAAGTTTTTTTTACTAGCACTGAAAGTATATTGCACAGGATAAACAAGCTAGAAATAACAGACTTAAATAGTTGGAATCTGTGAGACCACTACAAACAAAAAGGAAAAAAAGAAATCTGGTTATGAGATGAGGCACCACTGGGATGTCTCTACTTCTCACCAGGTACTTAGTGAGGTCATTGATGAACTCTCCATAGTGCAAACTCTTGTCATCATGCAGGTGGTTCTGGAACATGGCTGTGATCTGCTCTGACCCCACCACAGGAGCACACACTCGCATCGCATACTTGCATGCCTGTAAGAACGACAGAATCAAATAACGGACCAAAAAAACAAAAACAAGTTGTTTTCATTTCAAAAAGTGTGTTTGTTCCCTCAAAGAGCTAAATGTACAATAACAACTTGACTGCCTTTACCTTGACTACCTGTGGGTTTGGGTCAGCCAGGTGTAGCAACAGGCTGACCAGAACATTGTGGATCTGGTCCTTGAATACTGCCTCTCCCGAGCCAAACTTGGACAGGTTCCCCATCAGAAGGATGGAAGCGCACCGGATATCATCATTCTCCTGGATGGGTTCAGTCAGACAGCGTCACTTTGACAGCACGTATCTCCGGCCAGTCAGTAAAACATTCACAGCAGCTGACAGAGTACCGATCGGAGTCTTTATCCAAATCAAGCAGACTCGTTGACAGCTTTAAAACACCTTAAATAACATTTCAGACAGATACGTACACTTTCCAGAAATGGTTTAATCTTCATGAAGATGTAGACCACAAGCAAATGGACATTCTTCTTGTCCAGGTGGAGGAGAACCTTGGACAGTCCGGCCATGGCCTCATGTGTTATCAGCTTACCTGTGGAGGAGAACACTATTGTTTAAGGAATCTACATTTCTGCCAGTGAAAAAAGTCTAAGAGGACCACAATACATTTGAGTAACGAGGTGAAACTTACGACAAAAAAGGAGACCTTATACATTTTTGTTAGTCCACAGAGCCAGAGCATATACATCACTGTGGTTTCACCTTTGCTGCTCCCTCACCTGGATCATCTTTCTCCTCCATTCCTGAGCTCATGGCTGCCAGCAGCTCCTTGGCGTATTTATTCACCTTGTTAAGAGAAAGCAGGACACATAAACGTATGACTAACCTTAGAGCAGGAGTGCATACAGTAGCACGTGTGCTCCTTTTTCATGTTTGTGCGTACCTTCTCGGGTGATCCCACCGCTATGTTGCCCAGTCCTCGCACAGCTAGCATACGAACCGTGCAGCATGGGTCCGATATCCTCTCCATCATGTTGTTCATCAACACGTCGATGAGCATCAGCTCAGTCACCACATGATGGTTCAATAGCTAGATTCAGGAAAGAACAGAAAGAGACTGCTCAGCCTCATATGGGATATGAGCATAATGTGGGACATGTTGGGGTGTGCCAGGCTGGTGGATCATGTGTTTTCTAACCTCAGAAAAGAAAGCGGTGACAGTGACTCTTTGACACTCGTAGATGTTGTTCAGGGATGGACACAGATACTCCACGATTGCAGGCAACCTGGGACCAGCATGCTTAGCCATTGCCCTACAAACAAGACAGACGTTTCCCTCTTTAAGAGTGTTTTACATATTTCAACAACTAAGCTGCGTTATGTGTGTGTGTGTATGTCTTTACCTTGCTAAAAATGTGATTCCCGCAATGTGTGTGTTCTGTTCTTTCATTGTATCCCAGGCATTTTCTTCTTCTAGTCTTTTCGTCACTTCATCTAACTGAGCTCGCGCTAGCAAGATTCTCAGAGCATCAGCTGCTACCCTGAAACAGAAGACACAGAATGTGATGTGACCATCAGCTCGTACATTAAACGGGTAATTTGAAAATAATTAATTGAAAATTAAGAACAAGCAGTTTACTGGACATAAAGCAAAGATATTCACCCTGCTACATGGATGGAGCCAGCATGTTTAGCGTTGTTGTCCTTTGGTGCCAAAACTCCAACACTTGCTCCTAGTCTGACAGTGAGACAGGAGAAGAGCTGAGAAAAGTGACTGACTGCTGGTTCCTGGCTCTGACCATTCAGCAGCAGCTCTTTGAGACCACAAGTCATCTGAAAAACAAAAGAAAGCCAACAAGCATTATCTGTTAAATCAACTTCAACTGTCACAATAAACTGAACTGACAGCAGTAAATTCATGGTTGTGGATTTCTTTGACAAGATCATTTCCAGTAATTTATTCACAACCTTGAGACAACCTTTGAATGAGGTAAGCACACTTTCATGTAGTCTTCCTTCGCTTTAAATTCATTGCTTTTAATTAACTTTGAGGGAGAGCATTCTCTTGTGTAAAGCCTCTTATTCAGACTGAGAGGACCTAACCAAAATGTCATCTAATTGAATGATTCATGGAGGTTCGCTGAGGGGGTGGAAGGGGGATGACAGTGACTCATGAATGCATAAGAGTACAGCTGTTTGGTAAATACACTCAGTAACATAAAGTGATTGTTAGAGTAATTGAATGCTTCCAAGTGGTTTTAGAAGCGTGGTCAGTTTAATTGTCTGCAGCATTAATTAACTCTACTGGATGACATGCCCTCTCTACCTCCCATAGACACACACTGCCCGGAAACATAAATATATGCCTGGCTACTAAAAAAAATCAAACTGTGGAGTTTGCCATGGGCCATCAAAACTATTTCACCGAGTGTGTGACTGCAGTTTGTGGTGAGCCTGTTGACTTACAGCCAGTGGCTGACTGGTGGCCACCTTTGTTGCCCCTCCCCTCATCATCGACTCCTTCTTGTCTACATAAGGCGCCATGATGACAAGTTTCTCCATCACCATCTCAATAATCTGTTTGGCTACGATGGGATCTGCTCCCAGAGCCATCCACATCTCACTGGTCCAGCTGTACAAAGGCCGAAACAAGATTAATGTTGACACAGCATCCAACAACAGGCGATTTAAAAAAAAAAAACTAAAGGCTGCATTAAAGATATGATACCTGTCATAAGGAAGTGGTTGATGAACAAGTGTATTAACGACCGTCTGCAGATGCTGGGAAGCCAGGATAAGTACCGTCTGTCCCACTGCCACTCGTACCTAAACACAAATGCAATGAAACAGTTCTTGAACTTTGACCCTATTTGTACAGCCAGCGCAAAAAAAAAAACATGCTGGAAGTATTCTTAAAATGGAACCCTCTTGCTGTGAGGCAATGGTGCTAACCACAACATCACTGTGCCACTCACCAGTTATCACATAATATTTTGATAATCAATAATGTTAGAAAAGTTCCATCATGTTTACCTGCTCCTCTGTGATGCTTTGCAGACGTACATGCAGCACCTCAAGCATCTCTGGGACCTGCAACACAAAATGCAGAGGACATTAAGCTGGACATCAAATGCTGCAGCAAAAATGTTATTGATGTGTGTGTGTTACCAAATCCTGCATTCCTCCTCCTCTGTTCTTCAGCAGCGTATTTAAGATGACGGAAGAAGCTCTGCAGCAGTTAGTCTGACTGTCTGCAAGCCCTTCAAACAACATGAACACCAACGTTGTCAGCTGTGGCTGAGGCAAACGCTTACTCATCACCTGAAATGTGCGATATAAAAGAAAAAGAAGCGTTTATGCTCTGTTGCGCTGGAATAGTTGTTTTCAGACCCCTTATCAATCATGGGAAGAATAAAGAAAAAAAAAGGGGTTGATGATGTGAGCAAAATAAGTGTAGAAAATTCTACTAAGCGAAGACATCTCAGTGTTTTATCATGCATAGACATCATATTTACAACAATTCCTATGCCCACTGGTACCTTGGTGAGGTCTGAGCAGGTCTTGTAAAGCACCGTGTGATCAGGGTTCTCTAGTCGATCTTTTAGAGACAGCAAATCTTCAACACCATCATCTTTGTAATCAAAAGAGAAGCCTAAAAAACAGCAAAAAAGTATAATCAAATCAATTTAATTACCCAAAAATAAAGCTACATGGTATGCTAGGCTTTCAACACAGCTGTGGATTATTACTGTATAAATATAAACAATTGCATTCATTGACATACAGCTGTCAACACCCTCACTAAACCTCTTTTATACTTCCCCTTCAAAAAAAAGAAAAAAAAATCAAAACAAAAACACATGATATCCTCATTGCCATTACTCCACATCAACAGAAACATTTTTCTTAAGAAAAAAGTCTCCTCTACAGGAAGCAATACGAGCTGAGGCTGTATGTGTGAGTACCTTCATATCGTTGCTGTATACAGAGCAATGTGTAGATGCAGTCAACAGCAGCAAGGCGCACCGGAGGGTGAGGATCCGAACAGCGTGGAGACAGTCGCCCCAGAAGAGCTCCTAGGTTGTGAAAAGACACCATGTTCTGGAAAAAGTTCCACAGAAAGACAACAAAACGTTGGTTACTACAGGGAAAGATGTTCCTGTCAGAGCTTTAAGGGGTAGGGTTTTGTGCAGTGCTGATGAAGTTATAAAAGACCATTCAGAAGATAAAGATTTCTTTTAATATATATATATTTATGGTTTGAGATTAATTTAATCACAAGTTTTTGTATGACAACATGGGACATGTTAATATTCACAGAATAAAAAAAATTCTGTGCACCTTGACATTTAGGTTATCCAGGTAATAAGCCAGTACGTGAGCAGTGGCTGTGACGGCCCTCTCCCTCTCGTGGTCTTGTCCAGAGCTCAGCCATGATTCAATATGCTGTAAATAAGAGTAATGATGATTTTGAAAAAGGCAACCAAAGGGGAGGATGAGGTACCATGTTCTTTACTAATTAAATACATAAACAAAAAAAAACACACAAAAAAACTAAATCACCTTAAAGCCTCACCTTAAATACACTCTGTAAACCATCAGGGGTGGTGTCCCTGGCCAAAACACTCTTCAAAAGCTCTTGCAGAGCCGCCATTGTGTCTTTGTACAACACCTGCACAGATTAGCCACAAAATACTAGTTCCATGATATTGTAGCATGTGAAAAAAGAAAAGCCCTGCTATGGTGTTAAAATGTTGAGGACATGACCCAATGCAAATCAGTGAAACAATACCTATTCTCACGGCTCGGCCTGTATTACATCACCTTTCTCTGCTTTGGGTCAAGTATCTCCTCCTCTTTAGACTTCTCTGGAGTGTGTGTTTCAGGTGGCAGTGAAAACACGCTGTTCACACACACCTTTAGCAGGTCAAAGCTCTCATTCTCACTCAATGAGGGATCCAGAGGCCTGAAGTAGTTCTGGTTAAAGAGAAAAACACTGGAAACTGATCCAGTAGTACTTGAGCCTTTCACACATATCAGAAGAAAATGTAAAAGCAACTGGGGTTGTTCTTATTAAAGTAAAGGATACATAAGGTTGGCGCAGGTGGTCATCACCAGATGGCGTACTGGAGTCCTCAGAGAATCAGCTGGTTCTGATTTGATAAAATCCTTATCATTGGAGACAAGACCAAGTAGAGATTAACGTCAAATCATGGACATGTCTGTAACTGCACACCAATGATTGCTGTTTTAAACAGTTGGCCATTTTGAATCGTAAAACTCACCAGCATCACAGTAATGAGCTCCTGCTTACGGGAGAAGATGTAGCCTTGTTTCTTCACACACTCACTGATGGCTTTGGCTATTAGCCCAACACTCTGGATCAAACTGAGCTTCATAGTGAGGTCCTGGGGAAGGACAACACACACACACGCAGAGGCTCAAAATAAGAAAGGCAAAGCAAGAGGTGAAAACATTCAGGCCAGAGGCATTTTCCAAGGAGCCATCGATGCAAAGAACAAAGCCAAAGCATAGCAAATACACAGGCCCAAATCACCCAGTTAATCCATCAGTTCAATCAATCCAAAAATGAATTTGTAGATTGATTCTCCATGCCTATGGATGGAAAGAGGTTTGAAATCCAGATTTGGGGAATTAGAGGAAATTGTTACAACACCAACACTTCTGCAGCCTCAAAAGCACCATAGAACTTAAAGCCTGGTGACACAAAATGTTAAGAGATTAGCAGGAAATCACACACACCCTTCCAAACAGAGTGAGCCATTGGTGAGAACCCTAAAAGAATCCAGCTCTAAGCAGCTAAAGACAAATAAGCACCGAATCTAATTCATTATGAGGGGAAAACAAGACAGATTTGAAAGGGGACTTTTTTAAAAATCAACTCATCCTTTCAACCCTTAGAGGGGCAAATATTTACCCTAATGTGAGCGATTTATCAACTTAAAGAATAATTTCACTAAGGTGGGGCAGAGACTTTCATTTTATCACAAACAGCACAGTTGTGGTCGACACGCACTCCCCCCCCCACCCCCCAACTATTCTGTTTGTGAACTGCTTTAAGTATCTCCACATTAATTAAAGCAAACCAGCTATTGTGAGTCCATTCTGATCATGCTTAAGGTAACTTTCAGTTAGGTTTGTAGTGAACCCGCCAGAGAGGATCAAAATAAAACAGAAAAGATAGATAAAAAACCAAACCAAAAATAAGGATAAAAGAAAATCAAAGATAATCTCAGAGTCCTTCATTGCAGTGACGATACCTTTGTCTCTACTTTAATCCCCAGAACCTGTATGAAAAAGAGATGATAGGGTTATGACCCCCACACAGACATTTTGTGATTACTCTGTCAGATCTATGAGTGCTCCAGACTCACAGTGACACTCAATCATCACTTCGCTCTTTTAACTTAAAAATACATTATTATATCAAACTAAACCAGTGAACTGCTGATTCTCTCATGTGATATTGACTAAAGCCCATCACGTGAGAAAAGCTCAATGAAGTCCAATTTTAAAAGGTTATGCTGAAAGGGATCAAAGGCTTTTTAAACAGCCTTACTCTATGTTTGGAAAAACTACCAGTAACCATGTTAGCTAAAAATATCTTGTGGCTGGACAGATCTTGCTAGTTGAAGGCTTGAAAAAGACTGAATATTGTGCATCAGCTACAGCAGCAAAATAAAAACATTTAGGAGGAGAAATGTTGTTCCATAAAATATAAAATCACCATGCATCAGTTACTTCTTTGTGAAAGGTTTCCTCATTCAGGGATAAAGCAGCGGTGGGTTATTTTACATTTTGTGTTAATGCAGTGTAGAAACTCTGGTCTAAGCTGCTGTTTTTAATTATCTTAACAGACAAAGTGAGCATATATATAACACTTCAATACCTTGGTATTAAAGTGTTTGCTGATGCAGCGCAGGATGTCCTGGTCAATGCGGTTCAGTATCTTTTCTGGAGGTGCGTTCAGGGCCACCTGACCGTAGCACAGGATTAAAGTGCTCTTCACCTTCTCCACCTCAACATCACTGCGCTCCTGGAAAAGTGAAATTCCTTTCATACAAATGATAACGTACACACGCAAAATTTGTGCTTGAGACGTCTTAAACCCTTTTCGTACCTTGAGCAGGTTGAAGATGCTTGGTGACTTTTTGAAGGCCTCGGATTTGCCAAACTCATCCAGCTTGGCCAGAGTTCCCTCTAAGTGGCTGGCAGCACACAGACCAATGCCCATCGCAACTCCCTGATGCACAAAGATGAGACAAATCAAGAGTGAGATACGTCTGACACAAACCATTCAAATCAATAAAAGTTTGTTACTTTTTTTCCTTCCTTTAGATTTAAATTTAAATACCTCTCTTTCAATGGCATCATTGTGTCGCGCGATGAGAAGGATTTCCTGCAGTTGTTTTTTCACAAGCTCCTTATTGAAACACTGCTGCAGAGTCACTCCAATACATCGATACAGGAAGCTCTACGCACATGGGGGGAGAAATATGTAGACATGATCATCATGGTGAACTATACTGCACTTACAAGTGTTCAAACAAAACAAAAAAAGAAAATGGATTTTCTTGTTGGTATTCTTTCCTTTGTATTTTGCCATTTCAGTGGCCATCAATCAAGTAAATCTTTCAAACTTATTTGTCCTTCTGAGGACATGCAGACAGGGCTGCCTCTACTCGTTGCCATTTAAATCCACAGCCATACTGATCAGTTAACTATTTAATGAGGAAAGCTCCAGCACTGTGGCAAGAAGTAACTGGGGGCACGTGTATTTTCAGCCATCATTAGATTAGAAGCAAGAAAATCTCTTTAATCTCCTCTCTCAGTCACATCCATGTTCTGGTCATAAAATGAGCTACAGTCTGTAAAATATTTATTCAATGTGTCAATAGTAAATGCCTCCCTATCTGTATATGAATCAGAGAGGCAGAGCAAAAGTAAAGCCATTGTTTAACATGTTGCAATATTTTTAGTCAGGACTTTTTGAGTGGGGGGTAAGAAGTCTGCAAATGCAATTGGTGACAATTAAATGTAATTCTACATTCCTCTGTGCTTAATTATTTCCTGATTCAATGTGTACAAAGGGAGGAGCTGGTATAGGTGTGGGAGTGATGAAGAAAGGGATGGTAGGTGCATACATTTAATGTCTGTTTGGAACAGCCAAAATAAATCTGACAAATTGTTGGTTATTAACTTTAAACTGAGTGCTGGAAAAGTTTTAAAGTCACTTTACCATCCAACAAATAAGAAAACTGTTTTTGCATTTCAAATACTCTGTCAAATGAAGTCTGCTTACTGATCACTAGCAGACCTAGACTGATCCTTTTTCAATTCATTCATGATTAACCTGTTGCGACGACGGCACCTACAGCCTTTGTGGTTCAAAATATGCTGTCTGCATTCTTAACTTTTTACATCTGGCTTAACAACAATAAACCTGTTACATAACAGACTGTTGCATTTTGAACTGCGGCTCTAAAGTAATGAAGATATTAAAAAATAAATAAATAATGCAACAGCTAATTTTTTCCACTAAGTAATGAACTATGCCCCTTTCATACATTAAATCCAATTAAGACCTTGGGTTATATGAGTTGGAGTCATCCAACGAGCACGGAAATAAATTACTATCCTAATAAATGTCAGGATGTTAAATTAGCCCCAGAAGAAACCAATGTAAGTATTCTAGGATAAATATGTTGTAAAGTGATCTTACTGTAGCACTTTTAACAAAATAACTTACCTTCTCCTCCAATGCATTGTTGTACGTAGAAAGGTATTTTGTTGCCTCCGCTGCCAACTGGCAAACCCACTTGTCATCATCAATTGTTGTCAGCGTTTTAGACAAGAGCTGTGGACCATTTCAATCACATTTAGGATTACAGCTCACAATATAAGGCCTGATTTTAGCTTTTTCAAATGAAAAAATAAAATCTCTGGATTTCTAAATTTATATTAAATAAATAAAAATCACCCATGCAGCCATCACTTTGACTGCACACAAACCAACTGAACTTTAACACAATATGAAGACAATAATATTCACAGAAGGGCTCACCTTCAGCAGCTTTTGATCCCACAGCTTTTTTTCCAAACTCTCAGCCTGTGACTCTGTTGAGAACAACAACTGTTAGTTTGACATGAGCAAATTTAGCTACTCTTGTTTTCTTAAGCCGTAACCCCACAGGAATGCATATTTGAAAAGCTAATTTCTTTACCCTCCAGAGCGGAGAGCAGAGGTGGTATCTCTTTCTCCCAGAGAACCTCTGTATTGGGGTGGATGCTACTGCTGAGGATTTGGAGAAGTGAGAGGGATGGAGCCCCGTGACATCTGCTACTGAAAGGGAAGGCTGCATTGACCTTCAAGAAAATACAAAACAAAAAAAGAAAATGCAATTATCCAAATCCCAGACATTATAAATTATGTCATATTGATAAAAAAAAAAAACAGCACTACATCAGGAAGTCAAGCTGTATAATGGGTTACTGTCAATGATCATATCATTAAATCAGTTACATCAAAACTGTGACTGAATCATTAGAAGGAGAAAAACAAGATAATCTAACTACATATGTTACAGTTAAAGTTCATTTAACAAAATACACCAACATTGTACATATTTTTTTACATTGGATTTGATTCCATTGCACCAGGCAGTGATTAGACAGGAAGTTAATGACAGTGAATGGATTTATTCTCAGCTTTAAGCTGCATGGGCCAACACACGAGGCCACCATATTTTTTATTAAGTAATGAGTGAATTTACTTACCAGCAATCTGATCATCAGTGTTTGAGGAGATGGCAGATTGACTGGAGACAGATAACACATTTATTGTAGAATTAATCCTTCAAAATGGTCATAAATACATTTCACTGTTCAAAATTAATTAGAGTGCAATTATTTCAACTGTGGCAAAAGTCATTCCAACACAAACCTAAAGATTAGATTTTTTCAGACCTGATATAAATGTCCACCAACCTTCCTGAGTAAAGTCTATGTGGAAGCTGGGATCCTGGTTAATCTTCTTCTTGTTTCCCAGCACTATAAGACTCTTACAGAGAGGAGTGGTGGCATTGCTGTACTGTGAGGGCGTTAGGTAGTACAGCAGCTTGGGCCATAGTACCTTCCAATCAGAAAATACATTTCTGTCAAGTACACCAGAAGCTATAATCTACAGGTGAGAGAGGCAGACTGGTTAAATCAGCATTTACATCAGCTAGTTGTCCAACAGTGGTGGTCAGAAGATGAAGAGTGTTGTCACACATCATCCTTAACGCTTCATTAGTCACCTCCTCTGGCTCAGTGGGCCTCTGAACTCGCTATAGACACAGATATGAGCACAGATTGGAATACAAATTTTACCGTTTACATTACCAGTTGCAAAGTTTAAATCTAGTTAAACTCAGTCTTTATCAGAAAAATAAACTAAAATTGTCCATGCCCTCATTAGACATAAGATATCTCCACATTCAACTTCAGCCCCGAACTACTTTAATTTTTGCAATAACTATTTTTTTTATTTGATTCATAGTGTTTTTTTACTGTTTTTTTGTGTGCCCAGCATAAGCATATTTACAAAATTGTAACATCAGGAAATTCTTCACAAATTTTAAATCAAACCAAAAGATAGTTTACCTGGTATGTGTCAGGTAAAGCACAGTTCTGCACTATAAACCTAACGAGTAATTCTCCTCCTTCTAGTTCCAGGTAGCCATGATGAGCCATTGCACTGATTACTTGGACCACACGCTTCTTCACCTAGGAAACAGAAAAATACAGAGACTTGTAAAGAGATGTACAACTTGCATACTGACTAAACTAGGAAGCTTTAAAAGAAAGACTTAAAACTGTGTTACCTTGTTACTGTGGTCAGCCATTGGCTGTCTGATGCTGGCCAGAATCAACAGCTTTTTGCTCTCCATCGTAGAAGCTGTAACACGCGTAAACAAAAATAAAATGGTCAAAATGTATCAGGGTCCCAGTTAACAGTTGAAGGAGTCAATCGGAAAATGTGTATTCCGTGTCAGTTTTCTCATTTGCTCACTGGACGAATTGATGAGGTGACGAAGTACAGCCAGTGAGCCCGATCTGCTCCGTTCATTGCTGTTCTCCAGCCTCTGAAGAACAAACATAACCACCCTGTCTGGGAACGAGTTCACTAGAAGGGGGAAAACGGACACATTAATGAAAAAATAATTTTTTCACGAAAAAATAATAATAAATACATAAAACCACAAATGAAAAAACTGGGGAAAAAAGTACAAAAAAAAACAAGGTTGGGTTGGGAAGAGCTTCACAGTTAACATAATTATCGTCAACAGGACATCGGTTCCACAGACTAATGCATGATTTCATTACTGCACTTGTGACTCCATTGAGCTGCAACAGACTGAGTTGCTTGCTGCTGTTGGGCCAAGTGGACATATTTTTCATATGACTGTAGACTTAGAGAATAAAGGAATACATTGGTACCAAGCAAACTGAAGGAGCGCAGGACTTCATTGTGATTCTTAACGGTGGGGGGGTCACTGTAATCCACAGGAGCAGACACCTAGGGAAGCCCAAAGGATTGCCATTTAAGTAGTTGCACATGTTCAGTCAAGTAAAAGCATTCTACACCCACACTGTACTACTGCATCCCACATTAGTTACTCCCTTATTTTTGCCATGATGTGCATAGAGCATACCTGCTGATGCAGTGCAACCAGCAGACCATCCAGCTGTGTTTCCAGCACCCTGCTGCCCATGTTGACTGCCACATCAAGAACTTGGCATAAGCTCTAATCAGATCAGAGACACAAACCTCTCAGTATTAGCTTATCAGCTATATGTTTTTAAACAGAAATGCAATGTTCAGGTGTTTCAAACCTCACAGAAATAAGACAGCTGCAACACATAGCAGCTCCCAGATAAAAATAATAAATCTATTGCAATCCACACACCGCAGTTTTGATGTAGTGTGCAGTACCCACCTTGCTAATTACTAAGTGCTCGTTGTTTTTTTTGTACAGGGACAAGATGGCTGGGATAATTCTTGGAATCTGCTCCTCCAGTTTGTCACTGGCCATCAGATGGCACATAGAGCCCACAGCCTCAGCCACGGTCATCCTCAGCTGAAACAAACCACAACACACACAAAGACATGAAACAAATTAGATCATGTACTACACACTTACCACCTTAGTATGAACTTGGTATGTATAGATGGAGAGCAAGTCGAAGGAATGAACCTCACACTTAAACAGTATAAAATAGCACATGCTGGAAAGATTTAAACTACAACCCACATCCCCAGTTTAAGAGGTTCAGTTCCCAACCATCATATTTTGCTAATTTTAAAAATGTATAACAAGCTCAGTGAAAGCCCCTGTACAAGTATAGAGGGGCCTCTCTCTGAATGTTGTCCCGATTAACCAAAATGAGCTGTAATGAGTACCTCAGTGTCCTCTCATATTTGGCATTAAGGCATAGAGTACAGAGCTTAATATATACTCAAAACAACACTGGTTACAAGATGCTTAAGTCCATGGGGGTATTATAAATCTTTATGGATTTGGATGCAAATCACAAGTGTCTTATTCGGAACCCACAAACTTATGATTGAAATAAGTCTTTAGAAAGAGAGTGTACCGCAGTGCAATTTTCATGGGAAGCTCAAATTGAATCAAGTCTAAAAGGCGTCTCCTCTTAGTCCACTAGCTTAATGACTGGGTGAACACATGACTTCATGCCAAATGCACGTGGTGCCTGTATGCTGGCATTTCAAACCAATTTGCCTGATTATTCATCAACCTACTTTACCTTGGCCTCCCTGCTTTGTAACCAGGTGTTGAAGAGGATGTCAAAAGCAGCATAGATTTCACTCGAAAATGTGTCCTTTCTGACAGTGGGATCTGGAGCTTTGTCCAGGTTGGCCAAGTACTCCAAAATGCTGTCGCTGAAATGACTAAGGGCTGGACGAACAGGTACAAAACAAGAAAAAAAGGAGAAGAGAAAAACATACAATTATTTTTCAAAAATAGGAGAAATAGGAAAAAGGATTTTGAACTACTGAAGTTGCTGTTATAAATAATGACTATTACAAATTGTATGTTTTTTTAATTCATTCAGGTTAATTCATGTTTATAAATAAGGATGTAATGCTTTAATGAGGGTTTTTGAAAGCATGTTGGAAAGATCTTACCAGAAGAAAAGACCCACTTCATGTTGTCCTGTTTGGCCATGCCCAACATGGGCAGCATGGTGCCCAGAATGGCATTCAGGAATGGGACCATTCCATACACTAAACAAAACGAAAACTTGATTTAATTTAAAAAAAAATCAATTGTGCTCATCTTATACAACGAGGTGGCCTACAGATCTTTCTTTTAAACTTTGTGAATGATGTTCTCTGGCAACTGGTATAGCTTTAGCACAAAACAACAGAAAATAAAGCTTTGGCTCATTTCTGATACGATGAAACAAACCAAATCTTTGGCCAGTACAAGTCGTTTCCAAACAGGTTAAACTGGTTCATGTTTTTCCTGTAGCGGTGACTCAATACTTACCCTTAACCAAAAGGCCTATCTCTTTTTTTTGGGGTGTGTGGAACTACAAGTCTCGTTTCTGGGGTTGGGGAAGTGTGTTAAATTTTCTTAAATCCCACAAAATTTAAATAAAAACAAACAGACATAGGACAGAAGATACCCATTAATCCATAATCTCACCATCTTAATTGAAATCAGAAAATATATGGTAATATGGAATTGGATATCATTAACACAAGAAATTCTGGGACGGGGACATTTTTCTTGCTGTGTGATATCACATTTTTAAAACAATGAATATTGACATTTACACTATTTCACAGGAGCAACACACTTCTCCTCTTTGTGATGTGAAATAAATTATCAACAGGTGACAAATTTGTAACAGAACTGTGAAATTCTAGTTCCATTTCAGAAAAAACTTAAACATGTCTATAGAGTCTTACCATTTGAGTCAGAGAGGTTGGCTAAAGTTTGGACCACAAAGAAATGAGGCAAGATTCCTGGCTGAAACTTGCTTAGTATCTCCTCCATGATGTCATTGATGTGCTTGTTTCCCACAGCAACCAGGATATTACTGGCTGCCTGCTGCCACTCAGGGATGACCTCCTGAATCAACCATGGGAGAAAAGCCAAGAAAAAATATCATGCTTAAGACTGTAAATTTTAGGACAGGGGCAGAAAGAACTGTGTCATCTTATCACAAGCTATGTCTTTGTGTCATTTAAAAATAAATTAAGAAACAAGATAACATTTTTACCTTTGAGCGTGTCATTTCATCAGAGGCCAAAGAGATGATACTCTTGATTCTAGGAGAATTAATATCGTCTATCCTGGAGCTGACGATCATCTCAATGGTCTGTAGTATCACAACTCTGTGGCTCACTGCCAACTTCAGGAAGACAAGATGAGGTGAAAAAGTCATGAGAAAAGAGAACAGAAATAACGCACTGTTAAAAGTAACTGCAGAATGTAGTCCAAATTATTATTTCTTTTTTAAAAGGAAGAGAAAAGTATGGCATTTACACTTCTAGAGCATAATACTGTGAATGGGGATTTCTGTTCAATATCAGAAGCGTCTCGCCACAGATGGAGAAACAGCCTGGTCAAAGACACGGTCGATATTTCCTCAGTTTCACAATTTGATCAAATGGTTAAACAAAAATGTCCATGGATGAGTGAAAAAAAACCCTGTCATACAGCTTGGTGGTGACATTTTAAAGTGTAAAATACAGAGCAAAAACTGAATCTACAGATGTTTTTCTTCTTTAATTCAAACTCGATTTGGGATCATTTTTCACTTTGTAACCAGATCAAACATAAAATGAAAAAATGGCAATTTGTCATTTCTATAACTGTACAAAAAGGCATGTTAACGTTGTAGATGTCAGAAAAATAAAATCTCGTCTCTGATGACGGGGCACTTGTTTATATGCTTATTGCTGAAAAATTAAAAACACAAAGGGTTGGAATTTCCACTCTTGGATTATATAACTCTCAAATGACTGAGGACAGCAGTATTGAGGATTACTGTCTAACTGGAAGTTGTGCAGTTTAAACACATGCAAGCAGAAAAAGTCAAGTGCTTCAGTGTCTGCTTTACTGAAATCATGCCAGGTATCTTCATTGAAACATTCTACAATGTACAATTTGGTTACCACAGTGTTTTGTTTTTTTGCCCTTCAGCTTTCCCAATGCCACAAATGCAGAACCACTAAATGCTGGTTAGATATTAGTTCCCGGGGAAGTTTTCTGTTTCCTTTTACATAACTGGCTAAGAGATCCAATTATCATAAACATGACAACACAGACAGCACCGGACACTCAACTCTGAATAATATCTGAACACTACATTAGATTTTTCCAGTAATCATTATGTGATAAACACTGCACAAATTAAACATCATGTTAAGCCACATTATGTCTAAAATAAATGGTATGTCAATGAGGATGATTATGGAGCAGCCGAACGACCTTTAACATCTAAAACTGTACTAATGTTAAAAAAACATCTATTTTGGACAGATTTAACATGACAGAAGATACGAAAAACATTTATATCGTGGACGCATCATTCAGAAATGTGCTTTTCTCTGTACGGTTCTAAATAGGAGGACATGTGTGTGTCATTCTCCATCTTGTTATGACTGCAACCGATACTTTGAGCTTAAAAGCAGGACATTTTACATGCTTGCTCACAAAATGGAATTACTTGACATCTATACTGAAAAACAAAGTCATCAGATGCACCAGGAGGATCCCTGCAACATAAATCTAACAGCAAACCCCCCCCCCCAGAAAAGTCACCAGTTTTAAATAAGACCTGATTAAATCTTTAGCAACTAGAGATCCCTGGAGAATAAACTAGTTGTTGGTGTAAACCTTTGGAGGAATTTAGTCTGTTTTTATCCACCCAATAAGAAGAAGCTAACTGTAATAAGATCAGCTGCTGGAGGTGACAGAAGAGCTGAACGCTAAACTGTTTAGCCTAGTAGCAGTGAAAATATGCAGAGTTTATTACACCGGTCAGCAGTCCAGAAGCAGAAAAAAGTAGACTTTGCATTTTGAAGTCTCATCAATGTAAATTTCATCAAATGTCCTTGCTGGAACGGACAGCACGGGAACTGTTGGTGATAAACCAACTAGCTTTATCACCATAACATCTTCACTGTTTGCTGCAGCTCTGCATGAAGCAATTACTTAATAAGGGCCGTTTGCATCAGAAAGGAAACTGATACTGTAGATAAGAGATGCAGAAGTAGCTATGAAGTTCCCACACCCATTGTGCACATAAAGAGCCATCACCACATGGTTAAAATGACAGCACCAGTATGTGCGCTGCCAACAGCCTACAAGAGCTCAAGTAGTCCCCCTCTGTTTGGTACAGGAATAGTGATAACACAGGAGCCACATCACATCCCAGTCAGCCTGTGCCCCAACACTGGAACAACCAACCAATCTGCAGTGGGAAGTTTTACCTTGGGGTGTTTCAGGAGGTAATCCTGACATATAGCCAGCACTCGATCTGGCTGCTGTTTGCCAAGAGTCAACACCGACTTTCTGACTTGCTCCTGGACTTCTGAGTCTTTGTCGTTGGCTGCATCGAGCAAAGCTAGTGTCACCTCTACAGGGAACACACACAATCCACATGAAGGACAGAAAACATAAAGCGACAAGAGAAACCTGTGAAGCACAACAAGACTCACGTTCCACATCCGTGTCGTCCATGGTGGACAGCAAGGGGACTGGCTACCAGAGGCCAGTGAGCAGGGATGGAGCCTTTTTTCCCCTTCGGTTCGGCTTAGATAGACATAGACTCTATGGAGCAGAAAAATCAAAGTGGATATATCAGACATTTTAGGAAAATAGACCCATTTCAAGTTGTCATTTTCTATTTAAAAATGACCCTATTGTGTTGGCATTCCCATACAAGTATGTAAGTAGCTGAATAAATAAGCTTGCATGCTTTTTTTTTTTAATAGAGTGATGCTTGTCGCCTGTGCTGGAATGTTTCAAGCTGTGAAGTGAAGCTAACAAACATCCCCGTGGGTTTGCTGCATTCAGACTGAGAACCAGGACGCACGCCAGGCGACGTGCTCAGTGAACGCGTGCTTTTTTTGGCAGCTTCACATCAACAACAACATTGAAACACGATAACATCATTACGGAGCAGAGGATGGGACCTTTCTCAGTCAGGGGACATCTACTTAGCTGACTGTCACACCGGTTTTCTATCGCTAATCAAACCTAACCGCCGACGAGCAGCAAGCACACGCGGACACTTGTGAGGTTGTCAAGACAGAAAGACAATTATGGCATCACACAAACACAAACTCTGCAGTGGTAACTTGTTGGAACGGTTGGAAAAATCTCTAGGATGAAGTTTGCAATTTCCCCAGTAGCTTTTACTTTTATTCGTTTGGGTGGCAAAGCTGCTGCCACGAGCTAATCAATTGACAACCGCTAACATGCTAACCTAGCAACCCCCGCTACGGAAGACAAGCTAGTCCCCGATGAGGAACACCACCGAGCTAACGAGGCTTACTCACACCTACTGACACGTAGCGTCCAGCGAGCTCTAACTTCTCACCTGGAGGTTTCCTCTCGTCCCGGTTTGAGGACTGGGTAAGGTTCCGGCCACGGTCTGCGGTGGGAGTGAGTGAGTGGAGGTGTAAACACGCCTGGTCATGTGCTTCCTGTCAGCAGGAACTCATCAGGCTTCTGGCGGTGGGCGTGCCCAGCCTGACTCAGAAATCTGCTGTCAGGGCTCACCGGTGTGGGCTCCCCCCTGCTGCGGAGGAGGGATCCACGACTCGGGAATGGAGTCACGTCAATGATTGTCCCTGGTATGGAATACCGGTAAAAGGCCACAGAGCGTGTAAAATTGCGTTTACATATACCCTGCGTTAAATGTCTGTTGGGGAATGGGTCTGTTTACGCCCTGCGGCAGTATTGCACCATTGCAGATCGTTTATGACTGAAGTCTTGTGAAAATTCTACCTGAACTTTCAACTGGGATGGTTTTGTGATCCCATGTTTTGCAAACACTTGACCATATTTTGTCTCGCCATACTCAAAGCAATAAGTTTCCAGCAGTCTCCAGGCTTCCGTTGAATGTGTGGTTAAGAAATGCCTTTGTCTAGTGGAAACACCTGCTGCCAACAATGATAAATTTAGCACATATCTAATGTATGAGAACGTACGGGATATGTTCTTGAGTTAGTTTCTTCTGAATCTACGAGGGCTTACCAACAAACAGTCACTTGCAGAGGTGATAAAAAGCTTTTGTGGAGAAAAAAGAAACGTGACAAATATGTGCATCATTGTAACAGAATCATTCCTTGCCAGTGTGTCCAAGTGATGTACAACTAACTTTTTGCCCTTTTTACCCCTTCTGTTTTTCCTCTTCATAAGGGTCTCCTTGGTCAGATGCATTCAAGTGTTAGTTCAACCATTTTGCTCCAGAATCCTGGAGAAAAACCTCTACATGGGTCATTTGGGAACACTGATGAATACATTTGAAAACAAATCCAACATAAGACCATTCTGAAATGAGAGAGAGTTGGAAAAAAATATGAATATTTCTGCGTGTACTATCTTTGCCCCAACCTACTGAAGAAGAAGCTTTATGCTTTACTGTCCCTCTGTAACCTCTCATGTCAAATTACCTCTTTGCTTTTAGCTTTGTTGGCAAACCCAAAAAACAGGCTGAGCACTGGCTGTTCTGCTCAGCACTTGGCAGTAGTTTATACAACTTTTTCTTATCTATTTCAAACTGTTCAAACACAGAGAAATCAACGGAATTCACTGTTTATCCTCTTTGTAAACAGATGGAAGAAAATGTAGTTTCAGGACAAAAACAGTTTGGTATCAGTTATTTCCTGATAAAGTTCAAGGTTTCAAAAGACTAACATGAGGCCACTAATCTTGGAATGAGCAAGGCTGGATGCCAGCTGAACAGTTTATTTAAAAAAGACAAAGAAAAAAATCAAGTAAATAAATATGGACTTGGCAAACCGTTTGATTGGTCCATGAGCCTCCACCAAACTCGAGTTGTAGAATTACCTGAATGAATTCTTCTATTACAAGGAACTAGTGTGTGGGGGAACAACGAGTAGCAGCTTTCCTCCACTTGATTCGGTTGTGGCCTTTATTGGACAGTGAACTTTTAACTTCTATGTTGCTCACTCATTTTGCACTCCCCTGAGTGCCCCGAGGCTGTGGTAACACGGTTAATGACCAGTTTCCAGGCCCGCTTTACAGTTTTTTGGTATATTTTTCTTGCTTCTTTGTGCCCTCAGCAAGACACAATGATGCATTCACTCGCTGTACATATGCATAGTGCATATGGAGATTGCTTCATGACAGTAGATATACATCCCACATTAATCAGGGGAGCCAGGGAGCAAAATAGATGGTCAAATTATGTTTAGAAATCCTGTTGTGGCTTTAATTTAAAGACAAATATTAAAGTCTTTTTAAAAGAAGTACAAGCTATAATTATTAGGAATAATTCACTGGCACCTTTATTCTTGCAATCAGTATTAATAATTGTACTTTTTTTTTTAAAGAGTTGGCACTGAAAACATTTGTTTGGTGAGTGGAAGAAGACATGAAGCTTGAGGGTATTTCAAAAACAAACTTGTGTATACACAATGTACAGTGTTAAAGTATTACAGCATTGTCAGTAGTCATTAATTTACAATAATGTATTTTTTTAAAACAGAAAAGCTGCAGGAGAATTAAGCATTAGCCAATCAATATTAAAATCTACTGCTTGTGATGAATGGAGTATAAATGCAAAATAACTTACACCTGGGAACCATTCAAAATAGTTTCACAAAAAAGTGCAGAACATCAGACCAAGTCACAGAGAGCATTAGCTAAGAGACAAATTCACCATCAACGACTCATGTGGTTATCCTGTTTACATTAAAAGCAATAAATATCATCACATATTCTTTTATATTAAAAATGAATTGTTCTACAGTAAATCAGGTGCTAAGTCACTGACAAAACTGTGAGCTGCCACAATATGGTGGTAATACAAAATTAGTAACAACAAAATAATAATACTTTCAGAGTAAGGCTGGAAAGCGAAAGGTAAACATCTGGTGAGTTTTTAAAATGTTTTTTTTCAGTTGTCACACCAGGTATTTTGAAGATTACATAGTAAAATAAAATACACACATCAATATTACCCTGTAAAAGATCATTAGAGAAAATTGGGGGGGGGGAAGAAGACTGGAGCTACACAGGCTGCAGGCTGAGGTCATCCTCACTTTTAACAGTACAAAGGGCTGGATCAGTCCACTTTTATCACACTTTCAATCTGTCAGCTTGCTACAGTGTGTCAGTATTTGGACCTTTCCCACAGCAGCTGGGACTTGTTGGACTTCTTCTCTCACTCACTGTGAAGTACATTGTCACTAGTTTATACTCCATCTCCTCTCCTTCTGAATTCATGCATCGTGAGTGGGAATGTGTGTTTTCCTGTAAGGGGAAAAAGAACGAAATTTATGCCAAAGAAAAAAAAACCTTTTTGGAATTTGAAACACATTGCAGAATGAACCTACTCATGCTTGGTCAGGGGAGCTTTGTCACAGGTGACCTCGGTGAGCTGTCCTTCTTTGCTCAGTGTCTGAGCCTGCTGAATACTGCCTCTTGGAGTGGCTATCCCCTTCAGCTTGACCTCTCTGCAGCCAGAACACATGGAAGTATTAGGATTAAGATAATCCCTTTCAGGAATGTACAAAACCTAAGTATTCCTGGTTCTTGAGCATCTTTGCTAAATGCTTGCTTACCCTTTAGTGGTTCCCTCTCCATCTTCGACCATTTTAAGGCCTGGGACATTTTTCCCGAACACTTTCACTGCAATGGCATTGAGAAGGCCGCAGCGATTTCTGTAGCAGCAGGTAGCGTCCACCACCAGGAATATCACGAGGAAGATCAACATGACGATTCCAACCACACTGCCTTTGGTCATGCTGGTGCCGCTCACTTAAAGAGGAAAGACAGACAAACAAAAACCCAAAAATGGAGGTTTATCTTTATCTATTCTACGGAACATGTTTTAAATCCCTACTTAAGCACAATGCTAAATGAAGCCAGTGGGAGGCAACATACCAGGCTTTTCAGCGATTGTGAAGTTGAATGTGGCAGGTACAGAGGATCCGTTGGTGTTGACTGCAGTGATTTCCAGTTCATAGCCTGAGCCAAAGGTGAGGTCTTGTAGGGTAATGGAGTCAGCATCAGATTGCAGCTGCATTTCTGTCCACTCGCTCCCTTCTTTATCCTGTTGAAAAGTGCAGCGGAAAACTAAGAATCACTGACAGGTCATGGCACGATGGAGGCCTAAATGGGCAGAAACTCTCTCTGTCTCCCACCTGTCTGTATCGCACACTGAAGTGCTGCAGAGGAGATCCCCCCTCATCCTTCTGTTTGAGAGGAACAGAAAAGGAGTTGCCCTCTATCTTCATCTCATCAGTGGACACAACTGGGCTGTCCGGTTCACCTATATCCAGGAGGCCAGGAAGGATCATTAATAGCTGATTTTGAAGGCATTTATTAGTTATGATCACGATCATCATTATTATTTATCAACACCTATATTGCATTGCAGCATTTCTTTAGAATTTACCCAAAGGGTTTTTTTGGTTTTGTAAGTAGCTGTGAGCACTTTACCTTCTGAGAACGGATGACAGTGGATAACGTGGTGTCATCGGCAGTTGAATGACCAGCAGGAAGCAGAAAAAGATGGTTTGAAAAAATTAAGATTCTGATCATGTCACAGATGAGCAATATATAAAAAACAAGCAATGGCAGATGAAAATGACACTGTTTAACACTTGAACAGTTAAAAAAAAAAAAGACCTACGGATTCCATTGGTGCGGACGCTCTCTGTAACTGAGAAATGTCCCTGTCCCACCATGTTCATGGCCGCCAGACGGACCTGGTACAGCGTGTATGGCTTTAGCTTGGTGACAGCCAGGGCGCCTGAAAAGACAAGCGCACAGAAGAATGTGAGTTTGAGGTGGAAATTCCTGATTCAAATGTAAATCGTGGCTTCCTGTGTAGGCAGCACCTGAAAGTGGGATGATAACGTGCTCCCACTGTTCTGCTGTATCTTGCTTCCACTGCAGTACAAAACTTGTGATTGGTGTTCCACCACTGATGGGAAGAGTTTTGAGAGAGAAGAATACAGAAGCTGGACCAGGCGAGGCCGACAGGTAGTGCGGGGGCCCGGGAACAGCTGTGGGTCAGACAGCAGTTTGGGGGAAAAAAGCAATCAAACAGTCAGGAGCTGTCAGTAAAAAGCAGTAACAGAATGGAGCTGTTTAACTTCACCAAATACAAAGTCTTACTATAAATCGCAGAATCTCTTGATGCATTTCCTGAAGGGCTGACAGCCACGCAGGAGTACAGTCCACCATCAGAGGGCACCACCTCATCGATCGCCAATACGCCATCAATCACACGCACGCGACCAGATGTTGCATCCTGGCCGAAAGAGGAAGGGCATGCTCAAAAACCAGTTACAATCACTGCAGAATATTGTGAACAAAATAGTTTGGATTGAATTTGTAGATGATTTTGACTCAATACCCCAAGATCATTAGACCTTAAAATGTAAATGTTTTTCTAGAAACCTTTTTAACATTATCTTGTTAGAAACGATAAGGTGTTGTGCATTCTTACCAGCGTCTGCCCATTTTGCTTGTTGAGCCAGTGCAGTTCGGGCTGAGGGTGGCCAGAAACATTGCAGGACACAGATACTCCCTCACCCCCTGACACATTGACCTTATCCACTGACACAAACACCCCTGGTGCCTCTGAAACCAAACGCAATCACCATCAACACATTTTTTTGCCATGACGGTGCTGCGTGACAGGAATGAAATATGTCAAAATGATATTGACTCCAACCAACCAAAGACATGAAGCATGATGGTGGCGCTGTTCTCAGAAATCTTATTGGTGGCGGTGCACACATACTCCCCGTAGTCAGCCCTGACCACAGACTGTATGGTCAGCTGGCTGCGGTCTGAGTTGAAGTGGTGATGTGAGGGGTCAAATGCCACTGGCCTTAGAGGATCAAATGAAGAGATTTTGTAGAAATTGGTTTTATATGGAAACAAAACAGGCAGAATTGAGTCAAGGTGAAAAGGTGCCAGCAGAGGGAAGCAGAGAGAGAAGTGGAGGAAGAACCCGGGATCACAGAACATTAACAGCGCTGATTGGGGACATTTCCGCACTTCTGCATTGCACACACACTAACGTAAACATTGAGATAGCCCTTATTTGGCACAAATCTCAACAACACAAACTGACCCACTTCTTGTAACTGAAGGTTAATTGTCACCAAAAAATTGTGCCGTGTAAGTAAAAAGAAAATCATTTCTAGAGTTAAGAACGAGAACTGCTTCTGTCCAGCTCTGACATTTGCACGCATTGATTTTCTGTTTTATTAAGAAAATCATGACTTACAAGGTCCAGTTTATGTAGGGTTTTGGCAAACCATCCGCCAAACAGTACAGAGAAACATTGGTTTCAGGCCCGGCAATCACTTTTTTCTCCTCTTCTTTCAGGTGCACAGTGGGAGGGGCTGCGGGGGGAAAGGCACATGTGATATGATTATTATCGTCAAGATAATTCATTCTAACTGGCACTCAAAAGCTGTGCTGTATTTTTAAAAGATCCTTAAATACATGAACGTACCATTCACCATAACAGAGACGGGGAGCTCCTTGTTGATGGGCCTCCCTCTGATCTGAGCCTGACACATGTATGTGCCCGCATCGCCTCTTTCCACCTTCCCAATAAAAAGCGTGTTATCGGACATCTTCCGCACACGCCTTCCATCTGAGGAGACAGGGTTGTGCAGAAAGGTACAGGCAAATTAAGACGCTTGTGTAGCTTGCTGAAGTCAATGCTTGAGTGACAGTACTACAACTTCAAAAAGCTGGACAAAGTCATTTTGTAGTTTGCACAGCAGCAGATCTGGAATCGCCCCATGTACCGTGCTTTCAGCAGATATCAGTCAGTCTATACATAATAGCTTATTAGGTTCTGTCACAAGATGCATTGAGAGAGGATTTTCTGTTTTAAAAATTGGAGATAGCTACTGCACACACTTGTCTTTGTCACTTGTCAAATCTTGTCCACAAAGAATTTTTTTATAGTTGTGATTGCATATTGCCTTTAGAAAAGATAAGCAAGTTTAGTTTTAAATCAGTGAATTGGCCGTTGAGGGCCTGGGGTCCTAGTCTTACCGTTAGAAGAGATTGGTTGCTCATTTCTAAGCCAGTAAACATCCACTTCTGGTTGCCCCGTCACCAGGCAGGGCACCTTAACATCTGTGCCCTCCAAAAATTCATGGTGGACTTTGGTGCTACCAAATGATGGACCGTCTGAAAAAAGAGAACAAAGCAAATTACATCCAATGAGGTAAAGCAACTCACCTTCCCATCCTTGACAGTAACATAGCACAATATGGAGCTTCCACAACAACACGGATCATTGAGGTCTGTGTGCATCCAGTTGTTACTCACCATAAACATACACTTTTTTCGAAATGGAATCTTGGTGTCCGCTGTCAAAGTCACAGTGGCAGCTATATCTGCCGGCGTCTTGTATTGTAGCCTTCTTGCTGATTTTAGAAGTAGACTCATCTACCTTTACCACAATGTCTTCATCATCAATTTCCTCTCCATCCTTCTGCCATGTAATATCTCCCTCTCCGCCGGCTAAAGAAGGAGAAGCAGAGGCAAAAGTTAACAGGGGCACTTGCTCTTAAACAGTTATAAATAGTTTGAGTCTTATTCATGTTGATACATTTTGTAGTACATCCAGTGAAATATCAATAGCTTACCTTTACAAAGCAGCAACAGTTCTGCTCCAACTTGAACATCTGGGCTTTTCATAACGATATCCATTTTTCCATCTATGAGGGGACAGGAGAAGATTAAACTGGATTTTGGAAAACTCATACCAGAGAATAGACTAAAAATGTGGGGGTTTATCACTAAGACTCACATTTGTTTTGTGTCTAATCAATAAATATGACAAATAAGCACAAATAGGACAAATCGTCTTACACCATTCAACCAGAATTTCCAGCTTTAAAGTCTTTGAAATCCCCCTAATAATGAATTAAACAAAAGCTTTGGCACCTGAGCAGTTAAGGTCTACTTTGTCAACGCTTTTCAATAAGTTACATGTGCAATAATCAACAAAGTGCATCACATATTTGTGGGTTAAACAGCTTATTTCATTTTAGAGGAATAATGAGGTTTCTCTCGAATGCCTACAAGTGTCTGGCATTTAAGAGCAAATGTCATCACAACAATGTAATTGTTGAAAGATGTACTGGTACTATCAGCAGGTCTTACCTGTGCTGTACACCAGCAGCAGTAGAAGAAAGGCTAATCTCATGATGGGAGTTGACTGGTTCATCATCTTCACCCGGCAGCAGGTTACCAATCCTTTAACACTTTGGTTTTAGCTCTTTGCCCCAGTTTTTTCCTTCTGAATGTAGTTATTCGGCATGCAACAAGTCAACTAAAAATCCCTGTAATTCAGAAGCACATGGATGAGCTGACACCTGTTGTCTTCTGTCCTCCTGATGCAATTGTGACTGAGCTGAGGTCCGTGTCGGAGGTTATATAGGGGAACAATAACAGATGAAATGAGAGGAAATGACATGGGGTGGGGGGAAAACTGAAAGCAAGCTCTGGGCTGTCATCCTTCCTTACATTGGAAGTGAGCTAATGTTGGTCATTCAAAAAGGGGGTAGAGGACTGAACGATGTCACGTTCTTATGTCTTTCTAAAATCTCAAATTTTTGGCTCACATGCTATTGTCAACTATATCTCTAATGTTTATCTGTTTTTAATTATTATTTCTCCTCCATTTTTTGCATCCCCTTTTTCTCCAACATTCTCCCTCCACCCTCTCTTAGTTTTCTCCCTCCAGGCCACCGGATGAAAGCAGGGGAGGCATCCCCCCAGGGAAGGAAGAGATGGGGCAAGATATTTTTATCACTCCATCGTTTTTCCCTCTCACATTTAAAAAGATCACGTTCCTCTCAAGTACACACATCAAACTACACATAGAGTATGCCAAAACCACCACGGTCCCACCACTCAAATTTGTTGACAGAGAACATCCTGTAGGATGCTGATATCAACAAAGCTCAGTGATGCCCGCTTTACCACAAAGGAAACAGTTACTTTACTTTTCAAAACATCTCAATGAATATTTGTACCAGTTACTGGCAAAAGTACATTTTATCATTTAATTTAGGCCGCTTGTGCCAGTAAAGTCCAACACTTCAATCAAACTTTTGCTTAGATTAAAGACTTGGATGATGGGTAAACAAATAGCTGAAATTAGAATTGCAAGTTGTTGCCATAACAAAAATATGTCTTTTTTAGTGCAGACAGCCTCTCATGTCAAAGCAGAAATGGTGCAGACACAAACACACTGACGACTGAGTCACAGGCGCGTGTTTAAAAGCAGTAAGTGAGCTTCATGGTGTGGGCTTATAATCTTCATGCATTACATGGTTCCACTGTGCAGGCTGGGGTCAGTTCATGTGTACGATGAAGTAAAAACTGGCCCCAGTCGTAGGAAAAAAAGTTCTGTCAGTAACCAAGAATGTCCTTGCTTCCTCGCACAGACAAAAATTGACATAGAAACACACACACGCATTGTACAGTAGATAATCAGCCATCTCTCAACAAGCCTGTGATGAGACCAGAGCCCGAGGCTTTGATGAAGGACAGCCCAGACCTGCTGTGACCATCAGGGCGGACAGATAGCTTTGATGGTGCATTCACAGTACAACCGAACACACAGGCTCACCCAACTGGAAAAGTTAACATGGTTAAAAGTCATCTGCTCATTTAGATCATTTTCAGATGATCTGAAATAGCTACGGATTCACTTTTGCTATAAAGCAAGATGGTTGATGTCTTCACACAGTAACGTGGAGCATACATTCAAACCAAGACTTAATTTCATCATTCTGAAGACCATAACTGATGCCTCACGTTTGCCTCTTTTGCAGGGTCAACTACATGACCTTTCCCTCATTGAAACAATTGAGCACGCACGTGCTTTCACAATTTACGTCAGCATGCTTTCATCTCTGTGACTTAAAGCTCCACTGCCAGTGAAGTTTTGCTCCTCTGGGTCCTATCACTTCCACTGGCCACAGCCAGCCGGCCCTTCCCACCCTCCCCATGATAGCCTATCTGCGCCTCCACACCAACATCCAGCTGCTCAGCAAAAGGTTGGTGAGCCCAAAGGGGCCACCTATCAGGTTGTTTATCAGGAGGTGTTATTATGGCTCATTAGATCGGAGTGTGCTCATAATGAGGACCATTAACGAGGGTGGGCACACACCGACAGCAGCTCTGCATCATGTTTGCTTCAGCTTTAGTCGTCACTTGCTTTTAGGAAATAAAAAACGAGTTTTGTTGTATTTTTTTTTGTTTTGTTCAATACATGCTGGCTGTGAGCTCTGACTTTGGAAATGCATTTGTTGTGAGGCACACTCCCAATAAATAACAGCAGAGGTAATTTGCACAGCTTTTCAGCATATACTCATTTTATATGAATACCTTTGACAGATACATTTTACCCACACGTACTGTATCAAATGACGGAAGAGAAAATCCTTTTTTTTACGTCCACAACTACCTTCTGTTCTGATTCAGAACAACTGAGGTGACTAAAAAGTCTCTTGAGATGTTTGCATTGACTGAGTCATTAGAAAAATGGCAAAGAGTTGTTTTCTTTACAATATCTCCTGTATATAACTCGGGCTGTACTTAATAATCCACCTCATACAGTATGTTCATCAGATCTGGTTTGATCTGGTTTCAGAATTTTGCTTATTTGCATATTCAGCGCGGATTTGTAGGACATCAAAGGAGAGCTAAAACACTTTTGATTTCACTAGAATTTGAGTGGCTAAAGTTTAGAGACATTCAGCTAAATCTGATACATCTTACATACAAAGTGTGTGCCGTCATATAAAGAAAATGAGTCAGAATGACTAACTCATTGAGTCTGACAAATAAAGAAGAAACATATGAGAATGAGAGCAACTATATAGGGAAATCTCATATTTTATATTATATTTGTAAAAAGAAGCTTTGGTTCTTTATATAGCACTTAACCCCAATCTGTGTATTGTTGATCCCTTGTTGTGTTTGTTGAGATTCTACATGTTAAACTTGACTTCCTCATGAAAATGTTATGTAATGATTAAGATGTTACATTCCATAAGTACATGCATCATCTTGATGCAGGCATGAGCACCCAAGCTTCCTCATGAAGAGTCTGCTATGTTCCGATTTTTGGGCGTGCTCAGGATTGCCTCTCTACTTCAATCCCAGAGACATTTTTTAAAGATAGATACTAATGTTAGCCCAGCGCTGAAGCAGACAACCCCAAAATCAGTCAGTTTAAATCATCATTTGAATACACAAAATATTGCCGTAGCGAATTAACTAAAACAAAAGTTCCTGCAACAAAGTTTTAAGAAATGTACATATATTTTCTATCAAGGTTTATTGTTAAACCCAGCTAGATCTAACTATTTCAACCTGTTCAATGACTCTGAACCGATTTATCGAATGTTGCAAGGTCTCATTCTTTTTATGTGCAGTTTTTGAGATTTTCAATGTAACTATTTGGGCATTTCATAGAAATTAAATGAAGAATTTCTTTCACTCGCATTTCAATTAAGGACTAAGTGCATTCTTGTGTCTTCTGACTTACTTTGTATACAGACACATGGCCAACAGAAACAATGTCAGCTGAAGACATGAGGACGAGACAGGCAGGAAGGAGTGAGAGACAGAGGGAGACTCTCGTGACAGGGGGAGACACACCCACATGCTGCTCCTTCATGTGAACAAGTAAACCTGTGTGTGTGTGTGTGTGTGTATGTGTCCTCAAATGCCTTACTACACTTACAAGCTCAGTTTGTATTTAAAGGAGACCGAAGTAAGAAATGTTGCATGAAACTATTTTGGGGAGGTAGGTAGTGAAAGGGAAACATAACATTAAACTTTTTCATTATTCTTTACATAACATCACTTCCTTGCTGCTTTCCTGTTTTACGTGCATGTTATATTGAGACAGATGGCCGAAATAAATTGGAAACAGTTGTTTATGATTGCTTGTAAACTTCATCAGCCATTCAGTCTCGTAAATTCCAGAGCGGCGCGACTTAGCTGCTGAGCTCGGGGAGTGAGCAACTTCATATTAGAATCTGAGCAGTTAGACAGATCTGTTTAGTCCAATTTTAATTAAACAAATTATAACTTTATATCTTTTACTATCTTAAACCCATTTCATTTGTTTTTTTAAACCGTATAGTGTTGCATGCTCCCATGTCAGTGACCACATGCCCAGCTTTAAGGTTTATGACAGTTTCAAACTAATGGCATTCCAGCACTGCAGGATTTTTCACCTGAGCAGTGAGCAAAGGTTTGCTTGTTCCTCACCAGAGAGGCCTGTCTTTTTGCTGGTTTGCAGGATCATATCTGTTACAATAACAACAAAAGCTGATTTGGCTCTACACAAAAGGAGCACTTCCCTTCTTCCTATTCCCTCAGAATGACAGTACCAGCGATGCGTCTTGTTACTATATTTATCTACCCCATATTTATTTAGAGGGAACGCGGTAAGAGAAATTCTCCGAGGTCATCAAAATCTGTTTGCGCCAACCATTGTTGTCACATAAATAACCAATAAACAGGCCCCGCGGTGTGCTGACCCCGAGTGCACCAATAGGGCGTATTGTGTGTTGCTATTGTGATGGACATTTTCTCTGACCCCTGCACCTCCACATCTCTCCAGAAAATATAATGGGAATAAAACAGGCAACTTCCTGCTAAGTGCTTCTCTCTTCCGGACCTCTCGTGCTTCACAGCTTTTTTTTTATTTCTTACGTTGGTTTTTCCTGAAACATCCAGCCATATCCCCATTGTTGTGGTGATATCAGTTGAGGCCATATCTGTCAGGGACCCAGTGGGGGACATCTGGTGAGTTGGATGAAAGAGCTCATTATCACAGGACATACTTGGTCGAATGACAAAAAAAGGAGCAGATACTAAGCTTAAACTGAGATTAATTTTATCGCATTGATCACTCCACTCAAAAATGTTCACATCAGCACATTATCAGAAGTATTTTCTTTTTTCCAAACATGAAATGTGGATTATGTTTGTGCTAAATGCACCTGACACTGTAGCGAGTGCCACATTTAAAAAAAAAAAAAGACCAATACGGTTGGCACACTGTTCCTTTCTGCTTGTCCATCTTTATAGTAACTAAACCTTAGGAATACAGACCAGATTTTAAAAAATCTGGAGAAATCTTAAACAACACAGATACATGTATGTGACCAATCATGCCTTAGCCATTAAATATACCGGGATATTCTTTTTCCGAGTGTCTAAATAATTGTGTGGCATTGCCCAGTTTCAAACGAACGTTTTACTCTTCTTAAATAGTCCTCTACCGTTTTCTGGCTGCAAAATTTGAGCAGTTGACACAAGGGGCTAATGTTGTATTTTTTATATTGCGCGTTATGGCCAAATATGTCCAGCTCGGCCTTATCTATCCAACTGAAATAATTGAGGGTTATAAACAGTGTGGTAAGGCCAAAATAGCTTCTTTTTTTTTTGCCAGAACCACATCCCTCTTCAAACAACTGAAGAGTCTAAACAACAGTGATGTCGCCACTCAGTCTCTCACCACAACTTTCATCTGGACATCGGGAACAGGCTCTGGACGATTCACCGGTAGATGAAAGATTTACATGAAATTCCTCACAGCAGGAGAAAACACAAGGCACGGGGAAAACTGTAAATAAGTGCCTCCCGTGGTCAGCTTTTTTCCTCCAGTGTTCACAGCTGAGCCCAGCCTGACCTCATTAGAAAAGTGGGTTATTTCATCGGTTGGGGATTTTATTCTTGCTTACTCTATCGTTTGGTTATCAGTCTGAGATCTGAAGGCTTTCTGTGTCATTTAGGAAGACTAAAGCTGGGACTGTCAGTGGTACTGCACGCCACTGAAATCCAAAATAAAATCAGCAACAACAATAGGAGGAAGGCCCACAGTAGGCTACTGTGAAGTCAGCTCATCTAAATTTAAGCATCTTTGCATTTGTACGTAGACTAAGCAAATGTTTTTTTAATCAACAGAGAAGTCTACGAACATATCCACCGCCTCTGCCTCTCTAGGCCTAACCGGAGACTGTATGACATTTTTATATGAATTTATTTTAGGCCCTAACAACCCAAATCTCTCTTTCTCCCTTTGCATGTGCCATGAATAGCTTTCGGTCCACATTTTCTCAGACACAGCTCAAGAACATCTAAGTTTAGAACTATTTACTAATAAATTATTCGAGTTGTATTTTTTTTGGTGTGTTTTTGTTACAAAAAATATACAACTCTCTTTAGTCACCCTCACTGCTGACGTTCTGGACCGAAGGGAGGAAGTCGTTGACCCAGCCAAAAAATACAAATACAAACTCCACCAGAATGGAGCCCTGTTTATTTAACTTGTGGTTTATTTTTGCATACCATCACATGAGTGAATGAATTTATGTCAAACACTGAGAGGGGCCGCAAGCGCTCTGCCAGCAGTTGATATTTTACTCGAATTTCCGATGAGGATGTTTTATTCCAAACATAAGCAACCTCTCATTGACTAAAAGTTAAATTAAACAAAAAAAGCAGAAATTGAGAAAATAAAGACTAAACACAGTGATTTCCATGGAAGAAGCTGGTAACACTGCTGTGGTGTTCTGGTGAGGCGACTTAATGGTGGGAAACCGGCCTGTAACCATAGTATTACTGTAGGCTGGTGGTTGGACTTGTTTCTGCTTTTTCTAAAGACTGAGGCCTTTTTTTTTTTTTTAGCTGCTGGGAATGACAACATGAAGATTTAACACATTAGTATGGACACTTCTTATCAAACTCAAACACTGTAAATCAGGCTACCTTAACCCGATATGAGACTCCAGCTACATACTGGCTGTGTCTCCAGCTAGAGACGGAAAGCATCCACACGTGTTTTGTGTCTTACTCATGAAAAATTAAGGATTTAGTTATTTTTGCATGTGCCTGGGTTAGTAAAACTCAGGCTGGGCATGTTCTTTCAGTCCTCGAACACATTCATGGATCATGTTATTTGAGTCATGCGGTATTAATTCCATTGGAGCTTTTAATCTTTTACTCAAAGTTCATAAGAA